GCCATGAGCGCTCAGTTGAGACAGTTGGAAATAGCCTTGAATTGCGCACCACTCCAAGCTGTGGTTGCATCGCGGAACCACCGACGCCAACAACGTCCTTCTGCTCCCGCTCGTAGTAGTCCGCCTCGTCGTGAAACGCGCGCAGATCGTCTTCGTAGTGCGAGTGCATATTGCGTCGACGGTAAAAAGAAAGGTGTTTGAAGCTCGTGAAGATGGAGGTTGGAGCTGAGGAGCTCGGACGGCTGAGTTTCAACTGATATACCGGCGATCAGAGCACGTGAGTTCCGAACTCCCCTTCACCTTTGCGGCCTCACTGCCCCGCGATCACGCCAATGAAATTGGGGGAACTGTCACTGTGCTCATGTAAGCACAGAATTATGCCTACGCAGGTCCGCAAGATTCTCCGATCTCATCGTTCGGGCCACAGTCGGCATTGCCGCAAGCCCTTGCGATCGTGGGCTTCGGTACACAGATCATAGCCTCCGTCAGCACTATGACTAACAATTCTTGTAGTAGTTCTACGGATACAGTTTGCATTACTGTTCACATGCTTTCTCACGAGGCAAACCACTGTTCATTACGCGTCTGATTGCAGAAAGGCCGAATAACTAGAGCAAAATTCCCGACCGCACCGGGTGTTGCCGGGCCGGCCGGTAAAAAGGGTGACTTGGAACTACATCCGTTTACCCATACAAACAATACAATTATTTTTGACTGATTTAGTCCACCCTGGCGTGCAGATATGAGTGGCGAACTCGAGGAGCGCGTCGCGGTTGATCGCGAAAGCGCGGAAGCCATGTGAGCGCGTTTTGCTGTCTCGGCAACTGCCGTGCGCGTCGGCAGGCCTTGCCGAAGTCGCCATCCGCCCACCGCCTGCGACCAGCGACCTTTCGCATCGAGTAGCGTCGCATGCGTCTACAATCTCATATTCCTACTTTCTACCAGCTGCTACATCTTGTCTCTCGCGCACTCGGTACTCACCTCCAAGCAGCCGACTGTCAACCGCTGCCGCCGGCATGGCGGCGAGTCCGAACGGTGCACTCACGCGCCCAGATGGAGTAAAGCTCCTGCCTATCTTGGACGAGGTCTCCAGTCGAGTAAGGTTTGGACTTGGATTGCTTCACGAGCGAACAGCGATGCCGGCGGCAACTCGCCGCGCGTCTAGATGTCGGTGCCACACCCTCAAGCGATTGGCACCGGTATCGCACACGTTCATGTTTTGCGCACTTCCGAGAAGCATGCCAACCAAGTCCCCACTGCCCACGCCGATATGTACACGCATTATATTCCCTGAAAGCCATACTGTGGAAGACTGGTCAATATGTATATACGTTCCACCAGTGATGACGCTGAAACCATCGGGACCCCTGGATGGTCTAGGCTCAGAACGTAGTTAGGCCTGGCGATAGCTTTTTGCAGAACAACAAGCTGTACAAGTGCCGAGTGCTAGCGCCCATATCCGTTCAGCTGACGGAGATTCGGACCAGATGACGCTAATGAAGTGAGGCCTGTGGGCGTCTAAAGCACCCTTTGCGCCATGCAGTATGGTGGGTTTTCTTCGGCATCCACTTGCAGGGGCCAAAGGGCGCGTACGTGATCCAAATATATACACGGAGACTTAGGCGTCTCCACCTTGTTTGATCCACGGCTCATAGAGGCAATAGATTAAGTATGCTTGTAGTGAAGATGACGGAGGACGCGATGGGGAGCCCATACGCAAGCCGACGGATGTGACGGTGAAGGTCCGGAACGCGGGAGCAGTGCCGAAGTTCACGATTCCGAGCGTGCCGCTTGAGATGACCACGGTGGTGCATTTGCTTTATTAGAATAAGCAAGCTCGAGACAGTTCAATCGCACCTTGCTTCTCGCCCTCGTCTCGATTCTCCATCGCGCAGACCCAGTTGCTGCCCTCCGAGCAACCCTTTCCCTGCGATCCGAGTTCTCCAGCCATCAATGTCGAGTGAGAAAAGCGAGTCCGCGCCCGCGGCGGCAGACCCGGTCGTCGAGTCTGAGAAGAAGGCGAAACCGGGCGCGTCATGGAAGGCGAACGAGGAGCATGTACTTCCTCCCAATAATCTGCCCATCGTCTTTACGGGTTTGATGTGCTGCACCTTCTTGGCTGCGCTGGACCAGGTGCGTGACGTTCAACAAAGGAAAGGCTTGGCGGTCTTGACTCATTTCGGACACAGACGATCGTCGCCACAGCACTACCGACCATTGTCGCAAAGCTGGGCGGAGGCTCGAACTACAGTTGGGTCGGAACGTGCGTATACAGCTGTACTCCGTTCGACGCGACTCTGAAGCGTCACATTTTCAGCGCCTACCTTCTTGCCGCGGCTGCTCTCTCGCCCTTGTATGGCAAACTGTCCGACATTACTGGCCGCAAACCCATTCTCTATGCGGTCATCGTGATCTTCCTCATTGGCTCTGCCCTATGTGGCGCGGCGCAGAACATGACATGGCTCATCGTCTGCCGTGCCGTACAAGGAATCGGTCAGCTAGCGCCCATTATCTCCATATAGAAATTCCTGACTTCGCATAGGCGGCGGTGGCATCATCCAGCTTGTCATTATCACGATATCCGACATTGTCAGCTTGCAAGAGTGCGTATCAGTCAGACTCGTACTTTGTTGTTCGTATTTACTCACGCCGGCTCAGCCGTGGCAAGTACGGGGGTGCGATCGGTGCGACGTGGGGTATTGCCAGTGTGGTGGGCCCTCTAATTGGTGGTGTCTTCACAGACCATGTTTCGTGGCGGTGGTAAGTCAAAACCCTCGTCGTTAGAGTATTGAACCTGAAGCGAGCTCTTGTAGGTGCTTCTTCATCAATCTGCCCACAGGCGGCGTTGCCTTTGCACTGCTTTTCTTCTTCCTGCACCTGAACCCGCACCAGGGTCGGACTTTGAGGCAGCATGTCGCTGACTTCGACTTCCTCGGCCTTTTCCTGCTTGTCGCCGGAGTCATCTGCCTTCTCATTGGCTTCAACTCCGGAGAGACTGATTGTGAGACCATTGCCACTTCCAGCAGGCTTTCTCGCTGACAACAGTACAGGGTCTACCGCGGAAACCATCGCTCTTCTGACAGTAGGCGCCGTTCTACTCGTCGTGGCATTCATCAATGAGATCTACACTACACGCTCCCCCATTATCCCGCCACGTTTATTCAAGGTACAGCTCAAATTGTGTTCGGGTGTCCCAGTAGCTCACGAAGATTGTCACAGACCCGTACGACTGCTATCATACTCATCAGTGTAATCCTACACGCCATCACTTTCTTCGGCGCGTCATACTACCTGCCGCTATACTTCCAGGTTCTGGGTAGCGATGCTACGATGTCCGGTGTTCGGTACGTCCATGCATTTCCTACATCTATATCGCGATGTGCTCACGAATCCACAGCATGATTCCCTTCTCTGTCAGCGCCGCCATCGTTTCTGCAGTTACCGGTATTCTGGTTTCTCGCCTGGGTTCCTACCGTCCGATTGTTTGGGTAGGGTGGACGATCATGACTCTGGGCTACGGTCTGATGACCATGCTGGACGACACCTCCAACGACGCGGAGAAGGTGCTCTATATCTTTGTGGCAGCGCTCGGTGTCGGCTGCCTTTTCCAGACGCCCTTGATCGGTCTCCAGGCTGCTATGCCGCTCAAAGATATGGCTACATCCACCGCGACATTCGGTTTCCTGCGTACTCTTGGCGGTACCATCGGTATCTCCATCGGTCAGGCGATCTACTCCAGCGTGCTCAAGCAGAAGATCAAGACCTTGGGCATCGACTTTGATACGTCTCCCGCGGCACTTGCTGAGAGTGTACGCACGCTCAAGGATATCCCTGATCCTGCTACTCGTCAAGCGGTCATTCATGCATTCTCGAAGGCCATCAGTACCATCTGGATCGTGAACACCCCTCTGGCTGGTGTAGGCTTGATCATGGGTAAGCAGGAACTCCATCGTCCATCAACCAGATACTAATCCTGCTTCGTAGTCATCTTCATCAAAGGGTACTCGCTAAAGCGCACGACCGTACAAGCGACCAAGAAAGACGCAGAGGCGGGGGAGCCTTCAGCAGCAGCACTACCCGGCGCAGCAGACGACGAGAAGCCCGTTGCTCAAGAGAAAGCTGGACGGGATAGCGCCGAGACAAAGCGCATGTCTGCAGCCGACGAGCCTGCGACAGAAAAAGCGGACAGGATCTCAGAGAAGACGTCCGTATAATGAGTTTACGCGAATCTGGTTTGGCTTCTTCTGACGGCGCGAGACGTCTCCTTCACGGAATTTATGCTCTTTACGCTTTGATTTTTGACCGCTGCATCGCTGTCTCTATACCGGGTTACGATTGCGCACATCACATTCACATCTGTATCTGTAGGGCTTATAATGAACGATTAGATGCTGATCTGATGCATATATTCTTGCTTTTATGCGCGCGGATGTGGGCTTCTCGCTGCCAACCTAGATCCATTGCGACATCTTGCCTGCTGACCATCCTCGCAAGAATGGTGTCATCCCCTCAGATAGACCGGGATGCCGCGGTCTCCGTCTCGAGCCTCTTGCCTTCAGCCGTCATCGACCGCATATCGACTACTATGACTATGCCGTCGACGTTCACCGCAGTACCCGTGCTCGATTACGCCCAGTCCCAATCGCCCGAGGGGCGCGCAGCGTTCCTCGCAGACCTCCGACATGCGCTCGTAAACGTCGGCTTCCTCTACCTATCCAACCCGCCGGTCGCACACGAAGACTTCGATAAGCTAATCGAATATATCCCGAAACTCTTCGCGCTTCCTCAAGAGAAGAAAGACTCGCTCCGCATGGCGAACAGCGCGCACTTCCTCGGCTACTCGCGGCTCGGAGTGGAGCGAACGAAAGGCGCGGCGGATCAGCGCGAGCAGTGGGACTTTGGCACGCCCGTCGAGTCGCAGTGGAAGGAGGGTGATCCGGAGTATTTGCGGCTGTGGGGGCCTGCGCAGGTACGCGTGATACGCGCAGAATAGACGGGTGGCTGAAATCATGTGACCGCGTTCAGTGGCCCGAGGAGGAAGACTTGCCGGGGTTCAAGGATGTGGTGAATCGGTATTTGGTTGCTGTGTCTGAGCTCAGTTATACCTTCATTGGGCTTGTGGCTGAGGCGCTGGGTCTGCCTCCTGATGGCTTTGCGCGGTTCTTCCCAGAGCGTGAGAACACGATGCACAGAGCGAAGGTGCGCGCAGCGTCCTGGTTGTATGCACCATAGATAAGCTAATGTGCACGCGTAGATCGTGAAGTACCCAAACCGCGACGAGGTTCCTTCAGATCAGGGCGTCGGGCCGCACTTCGACGGAGGATTCCTCACGTTCGTGCGTGTATCGAGTGAGGGCCTTGCTACTGATGCTCATGAGCAACTACCTAGCTTCTGCAAGTGACGAACCACAGCGGCTTGCAGGTTCAGAACCCGCAAGGCGCATGGATAGACGTTCCTCCGGTACCGTACACGTTCGTGGTCAATATCGGTAAAGGTGGGTACTGGCCGCAGCGACGCGTTAGACGGTGCTCACATGTGCCCAGCTCTGGAAACGGCGACGCGAGGACTCGCGCGAGCCACATCCCACCGCGTGCTCACCCCCGCACCTGGAACGGGCCCGCGATACTCCGTGCCATTCTTTCAGAACATCGCGCAGAACCTACGATTGGCGGACTCCATACTCGAGTTCCCGCCTGAAGTGCTCAAACTGAAGGAGCAGCGAGGCGACTTTGGTCCTATAGATTGTTCGTGGCATACTTTTCATCTTGCATACGTCGTGCTAATGATGTGCAGCGGTGAACTATACAGAGTTCGATAAGTTACCCACCGGGCTCGTTGCATTGATCGGCAGAGTAAAGTCAGTTTGTTAGAGCGTATACCTAGGTGTATCTGGCGCTGACGAGGACTTGGGACAGGAGCCATCCAGACGTAGCCCAGCGTCACTATCCAGACATGTTCAAACAATTCTTCCCGCAGGGTCTGCCTGCGCACGGAGAAGCGTATTAGGATGTATGAGCGAGATGAACTAGGGATATACAACAAGGAGGTGATGATACAGGGCGAGGGAGCCTGTCCGTGAATGCGATGATTACTCGTTCGGGATATAGTGACGGGCGAACAAGTCGTTTTGTATCCAGAGTACCTATGATGCGGATTAGCGGAGAGCCTGAGATACATTGGATATCGTGGCACACCTTGTTCAGAGCGCCGATAGCGTCGACCTTTTCGGCCATGCTGAGGTCACCTTCTGGCACACTCAGGAGCGCTGTGTGAAGCACAGTCTGTACCCAGCCAAGCGTCAAAGCACAGTCACGATCTGCACGAACTATTAGCAGAGAGTCGGACGAGTATACGGATACGACATACAGGGTACATGTAATGGCGAGACCGTCGTGCGATGCTTGAATGACTTGACGCCAGTGTGCATGATGCCAACCTTGTCCATGTACTGCCAGGTTTTCGCGGAGGTATAGTCAGCCATGAGAACGCGCCTGCACCAGGTGCGCATGAAGATCTGGTGACAACGTCAATCGTTAGGCTGATGCGCGCTACAAGCCGGACGTACCTTGCGATATACAAGTTGTGGGCTGTCGAGCTTGAGGTCTTCCAACCGTTCAGGCAGCTCGCCGTCAAAGCCGTCGTTGCGCTCCATGAAGATCTTCTTGGTGATGTCGAACTCGAAGAGGTTGGCGTATAGGCGCTCGACGGTCTCATTGATCAATCCGGACACGATCGGCGCGATGCGTTTCATGATCTCCTGGTCGCGAACGCCGAAGCCCAAAAAGTCCTTCAGATACCGCATTCGGTCCTCGAGGTGAAGACGAATGCCTTCCGGGTCGATCTCTTGCATCGTCGGAATGGGTAAGGCGCCGTTTGCATGGGCGACGGGGCAGACGGAGCCATCGGCAGATGCGTGGCCGGATACGGGGCAGGTGAGGGTCTCTGCGGGTTCACCGCGAGGGGTCCGTTGTCCTTCATTCGGAGCTTCGTTCACGTCAAGCTTTACAACAGAGTCTTCGAGAGAAGCCATTATGAGCTAAAGCCAAGCAGCAGGAATGCAGAGGGGATAAACGGGTACGTAGTAGTAGCGGGAGACTCGCGGGCTGAGGAGCTGGCGTTCTCCGCATTGTGTATAGATATAAAGATCAGGCCGCTGGAGGCCGGGGTAGACCGGGCCAATCACATCCGCTACCTGACGGTACGAGCCAGAGAGAGCAGGTCTGGATGCAGTCGAGGGCAGCATGTCAAGCGCGGACTTCGGAGCGGCGCGCGCGCCCCGCACGCGGCGGCCGGGGCTCGGTCGTCCCAGGCGAGCCGTCGCTCTACAATCACAACGACATCCCACCTTCGTCCAATGACGCTAGCGCTCAGCGCTCACTTCGAAAGGGCCAAGCCAGCTATTTAAGAAGTACAAAGTCGACTTGCCTTCTAATCTTCTACTCGGTTTCACAAGACCAGTGTTCATGATACTACAGTGATACAAAACGAGAGATTTCTTAGCAGCCGGGGAGTGGAATGGTATTGACGTAGGGTATTCAACATTACTGAGTACAGGTACGACGCCGCGAGTCAAGATGGGAATAGAGGTGAAGACTCGAGGCTTATACACTCAAACGCTCAAGCAGGAAACATAGGATGCGAGGGATGAGCTCCCCAGTCCTCGTGAACCAGGCCATCCTACAACATAGATATGAGTATGAGGGGCTTTGCGTGTGATGGTAGAGCACTGAGTACTGACCACCTGAAAGATGGTGGGTAACCGAGCCCAGAACTTTTCGCGCTCTTCAGCGAGCATGAGGGAGAATCCAAATTGGCACGTTTCACATGCGCCTTCGGCCGTATTGGCCCTCAAGAGCTCAATCATCCGCTCGATACCACCCAGTAAGAAGTTTGCGTCTGATTTGTACAATCGCACGTGATTGTAATACCATGTTGTGAGGCCATTACGGCAAGTGGTCCCCCGCCCGTGTTCACATTCCTCTTTCAGCTCCTTTAGCTTACTAGAGGCGAGTACGGTTTGGCCCACACCATCGATAGCCGAGTTTACAAAGCCACGTCCTATGATGTAGTACCGCAGCAATTGAGGACTCGAGTCCAAGGGTGAAAGGTCGTAAGGGCGACCCAAACCCTCCTTCTCGTGGGAGAGATATAGGTCGTAAAACGCGGTTGGTAAGATATCAGGGACGTTATACATATAGCCAAGAGCGATGGCTTCGACTAAGATGCACCGACATGTCAGTTTCGAGCAAAGATAGTCAGCACTCTACAACGTACCAGGGTTCGGGTGATTCTCCGCCTTATAGCCTATCCGATGCACGGCCGTCCATTGTTCCCGAGTCGACGGCCACTGCTGCGTCAGGCTGAGAGATACAAGCCCATGGAGCTCTTTCGCATCATACTTGTGTGCCAAACGCAAGATTCCAGCGTACATCCCGGGGAAAGTAGCATTCACAGCGACACGGTCACCGGAGGTCCTCGTATAGTGATGTTGTTGAAGTTGAGCTGCATGACGAAGTCAGGCGTCATCTCGGCCAAATTGCACTTTGTCACATACCTGGAGAGTACATCGCCTTCAAAAACTGGGCCATGTCCTCCGCAACATCCTGCACGTCCATGACCGGCACCCCATCGTACTGCTCTGAAGTGTTGTCCAGTAATGTCGAATCACCCGGCCCGCCGAACAAGTCGCGAAAGAAAGCGCAATGATAGGACAGCACAGACTTGTGAACCTTCCAGAGGGTATATGTAACTTGCTCGTCAGTCTTAGAGACCGCTCGCAGTACTATGGTGCCGTCGGTCATCCAAGGGCTCCCTTGAATGCTCTTGCTCGGCAAGGGTGTGTCAGACTCGACATGCAGCCTCTTGGTCGGGCGTTCTGAGTCGCCCATCGGTAGACAAGAGAAAGTGTATTAGAATTGGCGGGGATGGCGGGGGTGGTAGTGGTAGCGGAGAGAGCGAGGGTAGTGAGAGTTCGCATCAGCCTGCTACAACGCGACATTCCAGGACATTCCGTCATAGCCGTAAGTTCCCACATGCGCCCCAGCTGTGGCACCTGGTAAGAACGTCGTCCAAGTTCATGCTTCTTGCGCTGGTATACTAGCTACAACTACGTAAAAAGCTTCGCGAAGTACTGCTCGATGCTACCAGGCCCCCTTAGCAATGCGCCAACTACACCATCTGGTCTGATGATTGCCACTTTTACGCCCAGATCGACACGATAGGCGCGATGTGCGTGCCCTTGACTGTCCACGAATGCGTTGAGCTCTGCATATTGCTCCTGACTGTTACGCGCAGAGATGACGACGACTTGGATTGCCCCTTCAGGGTACGCGCTGATGGGGGTATGTACGTCCTTAGCAAGAGCGGGATCGAGAACAATGATGGTATGCTGTGTCGGCTTGAAGAGTCGAAAGAGCTGCATCTTCGCTCCCGTCTGTACGCTCACAAGCTCGGGCGCGTCCGGCGCCCTATCTCCTGCATGAAGCCTGTCCGGCTTTCCCAGTCCGTATACGTCTTCAGGCTCGATGTTGGTACTCTTGAGCACAAGCTCGCCTTCGCGTAGTTCATCGACAACAACAGAGCTCCAGCGGTAATGCACGCCGAGCTGACGCAAAGCGAGGGGTCTCTCCCATGCGCTATTGTCGTTGGTGTTCTTGAAGGTCTTATCGGCGATTTTGGTTGTCAGACGAAGCATCTCGCGGATGACCGGCATGCGCTCTTCCTCGTAGCTCGATAGCAGTGAAAGCGGCGAGAGACCTTTGATGACAAGGACAAGCTTCCAGAAGATGTTCATCTGGGTAATCGCATGAGTATAATAAGACACCGGATAGTTGGGAGTGTATGTACCACATCCAATACACCATTGTTGATGCCTTGTCCACCGGTAGGACTATGACAGTGAGCGGCGTCTGGACGACATGTTAGAAGTAGCCACATGTCAGCGATGAGAACGCAGCGCACCTCCGGCGATGATGACCCGATGACCGACCATGAAGCGATCTGCGACTCGTTCATTGAGTCTGAACGAATGTCATTAGCGTAGGTTCGGCATGTCATGATGTAGACCCTACCTCCACTCCGCGAGAGTGCGAACCTTTGTCACGTCAATATCTGTGCGCCTCGATATCTTGCACATAGTTTCGCTCAGATACGATACGTCCGTCAGAAGACGCTGCGTATCGATAGTCTGACCGCCGATGACAATGAACCAGAGCTTGTCGTTCTCCGGGACGGGGCGGGCAACGAAGCTGTGATATGCTAGTCAACGAGGAAGATCAAGACAGTGCTTGGTGACACAAACCCATTCTTCTTCTCATCGGTAAATCTATGCCAGCACTGATGGATATGAGATCGAGCGACATATAGAGTCAATGTGCTCAAACTCACGCTGCGATCTAAGGCGGTCTCTATCTCTATGTCACCAATTATGGCGGTGATCTCATCCGTCTTCCCTTCAAAGTGTATGCCTCCGATGCGTCGAGTGGGCCCTGCACATGGTAAGTATCGCACGTTCAAACCTGAGTGAAGTATGCAGACCTACCCTTGGCTCCGTCTGCGCCCAGAAGAAACTGCGTCCTGATCCTTTCGTCCTGCCCTCCTACTCCCACAGTAGCAGTCACGCCGTCGTCATCTTGCTCATAGTCAAGAAGTTCCGTGCCAGTCTCCACATTGACTCCGAGTGCCGCGAGGTGTTTGCGGAGGATCCTGCAGTTGCTGTCCTGACCGAGCGTGATGGCCTGAGGCTATGTAACGGTCAGTTGATGCAGGTGGTGTATCGATGGGAAATGCGAGTACTCACAATGGGTATCTCCGGGGTACTCTCCGCGTCCACTCTCATAGGCGTCTCGGCGACGACTTGGCCATTGGGGTCATACAGTCGCATGATGTGCGCGCCCTGGTACGCCGCCTTCAGGTAATCATCGAGGATACCTAGAAACAGGAACGCCTCCTGTGATCGTGGCTACGAAAGTGCGTTTTATGCTCAACATCATGGATGAAAATACACGTGAGTACTGACCATGATTCCGGAGCCTCGCTGTCCAATCTCGAAGTTCGTAGCCTTGTCGATGATGCGGACTGACACCCCGCTTTGAACGAGAGCCAGTGCGCCAACGAGTCCTACTGGGCCAGCACCAACCTATATCAGACCAGTCAGAGTCACGTGCTGGTGAGAATCAAGCAATCACTGACGACTAGAACATCGACTACTGGGGATGACATGGAAGGCAAATGTGTGAATTGAGTGAATGTAGGGCGATGTGGGACGAGCGCCTTTGCTTTGCGCTCGGCCTTATGTAGGTTGGAACCCGTCGCCGCGAGGCACAACTACAGCGGATATACTCATGGGTCGCGCTACGCCCGTAGCATAGCCATTATCGTATGCAAACGCGGAATCCCGGCCGACGGATCGTGGACTGGATGTACTGAGGCTATAACACCGCCCGATGTAGCTCGTCTACTGTCCCATCATGTACAGGTAGGTGTGGTCCCGCGCATGAGCATGCGGCAGACCCGTGCAAGCGTCGGGCGACATAGCAAGAGTGCGAGCCTCTCCCGAGTGAACCCTCGGCCATGTCTCGGGCTGCTCTCTGACACGGGCTACACCGATACTCGTCCGCTTGCCTGGCCATGAAAGAAGTGCTGAGGATGCACAGGATTTCATGCGAAGGCAGCGCCAGTCCGCAGTATACCCGTCTGGAGCGGAGATGCACCAAGACGGATCGTGAGAGCTGGAGGAGGCCTGGCTGCGCTTGCTGTGCGCCTGGGGACGGCGATGTCGGTGGACATTTTGGAAGCCCATCACAGAGGCATTGAGAGCGTGCCGTCTTGTTCGAGAATGACATGAATACGATATTGTCCGAGAGTGCAGTGATGGTGGTATCCGGCAAGTTCAAACCGGAAATTCCTGCGGGAATGATCGGAGGTTCCAATCTCCCACGCTTGGCGGAGGGCTGCATCCAATTCAACATTCTAGCGCTTTACGTCTACGAACTGGGGCTACATTATGCGAAGACCTTGGAGAAGTACTTCTTAGCGCTGTCTGCGCCTTTGAGCAAGCCACCGACTACCCCGTCCGGCCTAACGATCACAACTTTGACACCAGAACCCGCGCTATAAGCGCGGCGCGCGTGACCCTTGGTATCGACATACCGATCGAAATCCCCGGTTTCCACCTGCTGCCCAGCATCTTCTAAAACGGCAACGATGTGGAACAAGGCGGGAGGATAGGAGGAGGTGAGGGCGAGGACGTCCTTGATCGACGAAGGATCGAAGACAATGATAGTGTGGTGCGTTGGCTTGAAGAGAGCTGCGTGTCCTCGCTCGTCTTGACGTTCACGAGTTCAGGTGCATCAGGCGCTCGGTCTCCGGCATGCAGTCGATCAGGAGTCTCGTTTCCGTACACGTCCTCCGGCTCGACGCTGGTGCTCTCCAGAATAAGGTCTCCTTCGCGCAGATCGTCGATGATGATGGAGCTCCAGCGATAGTGCACGCCCAGTTGACGCAGAGCAAGTGGACGCGAAAACGCCGTAGGGTCGTTGAGCTTGAACGTCCGGTCCGCGATGTCCGTAGTCATGCGCAACATCTCGCGGATGACGGGCATACGCTCCTCCTCGTATGTGTCGAGCAAGGTGAGCGGAGAGCAGCCCTTGATGACCGATGTGAGCTTCCACGAGATGTTCATCTGCAAGTGCGTTAGTGCATTCGAGCGAGCAGTTCATGATATATACGTACCGCGTCGAGAACACCGCTGTTGATACCCTGTCCACCGGTAGGACTGTGACAGTGAGCCGCGTCTGAAACAGGTATCAGCAACATTCCCCACGCGCCCACGTGAATGATATTCCATCCTTACCTCCTGCGAGCAGTACACGACCAGCCCTGAACTTATCAGCGACTCGCTCATTGAGGCTAAGTCCGGGTCAGCGCAATGGACACGTAGAAGTGACCGCGGCAGCTCACCGCCATTCAGCGATCGTGTAGATCTTGGAGACAACGAGCTCCGGATGGTGCGAAAGGCGACGAAGCCACTCGTGCATGTAATCGAGATCCGCCATCACGCGGCGGTTGTCGATGTCAGGTCCGCCGATGAAGGCGAAATAGACGTTCGGGTCTTCCGGGACGGGGCGTATCATGAAGCTAGCCAGCTCGTCAGACAACGCACACGCTGAGATGGTTGCGCCATCTTACCGGTTCTGCCTCTCATCGGTGAATGCATGTAAGACCTGTCAGTTTTTAGTCCGTTGAATCGCCGTATAATCGAGCGCAAGGCTCACCGACCGCTCCAACGCATTCGGCGAGCCGTGGACATCTGAGATCTCGACATCGCCGATGACAGCCTTGATGTCCTCCTCGGTCTTCCCCTGAAAGTGAATGCCTGCGGTACGACGCGTGATGCCTGCAACGGACTTGTCAGCACACACACCTAGCGGCACTGGCGGGGCAATGAGGCACGTACCTTTTGCGCCATCGGTTCCAACTAGGAACTTGGACCTGACCTTCTCCTCACGCTCGCCAATCTTGAGTGTCGCAGTGACGCCCGAGTTATCTTGCACATATGTCACCATCTCGGTTTCGAGCTCAACCTCCACCCCCAGGGCCTTGAGATACTTGCGAAGGATAGCGCAATTGCTATCCTGACCGAGCGTAAGCGGGATGGGCTAACGAGCTTTGAGTGTCACTATGAATGATAGGCGACAATAGATCACTTACGAAAGGTACTTCAGGTGTCACTGGTGCATCCTCACTGAGGGTTGTATCTCTGATCGGTTTCCCGTCCTTGTCGTATGTTCTCATGGTGAAACGGTGGTATGAGCCCTTCGCGACGTAGTCATCGAGGACACCCAAAAACTTGTACGCCTCTAGAGAACGAGGCTATGACAAAACATGATTGAGACTGAGAGCCGTCGAGATACAGACGAAGCTTACCATGAGCCCAGATCCGCGCTGTCCAATGTTGAGGTTGCTAGCTTTGTCGACGATACGGATTGACACGCCATTCTGCGCAAGGGCGAGCGCGGAGACTAAGCCGACCGGGCCTGCACCAATCTGAAAGAGAACGGTAGGTGAGATACGGTGTAGAAGTGATCACGACAGCACTGACCACAAGCACGTCGATATCCGAGGCAGACATGACAACTAGTATGGGGAGATGAACCAGAGACGAGCAGAGAAACAGGAGTAGGTGATTTGAGAGACGGGTAGCCCGCGTCGTCAGCGAATATATAGTAGTTGGCGTATATGGTCTTCAAAGCGAGCTTACCGCTGGCGGAACCCCTAGCCGGATGGATTTACACGAGTGAAAGCAGCCTGACGAGCCATGTCTCATATACCCGCTGCAAGGGAACCTTTGTTGAAAAATATTTTCGGGCTCAAGATGCACATAGACTCATAGGACAGTCGACACATAGGCTAGGCGCAATTCAGACTAGATATGCGGGCTACTTTGAGCGCTGTGATGGTGGTCATGAGCAGAACGCGAGCTGTGGCGCGTCAGCTGGATGACAGCCTCTTGATGCGTGTGCCGGATCCGCTAGCCGCCAACGCAGCGCGGAAGCTTCACCTGTAACCGCGATGACCGTTGACACAATTCCTACACTACACATCTGGCCGGCACAATGGGGCCTGCCGTCTCTGGACGCAGAGTGCCTGGCAACTTTGATGCATCTGCAACTAGCTATTCCTGGCCGTTTCGCTGTGGTCGAGTGTACAGACCCTGACCAGTCTCCGACCGGTGTGTGGTAGTGCGTGTCTTCGTGCTACCTGAACCAACATATCTTCAACTTTTTATAGGACACCTTCCGTATTTGACACACGCATTGCATACGGTCGGCTCGTACGCGTCGATTGCGAAATACGTCTCCGCATTGAATCCGGCAACTTTGCCGGCAGCTGGCCAGGAAGCTGTCCCGGAAGTGTTCTCTGCCGACCTCGACCACATGTTGAGCGCGTCCGAACGTGCGGTCAAGACTGCATGGGCAGCGCACACCCATTACGTCCTTGGTGATCTGCTGGTCAGTCTCCTTCCATATCCAGTTTGCGTAAACACCGCTAACAACTCCTAGGCCCACGTTCTGTACTCTTTACCCGAGAACTACAGCACCCTGGTTTATCCTACTCTGGCATCTCTGTATCCCGTCCCTCAACGGTACTACGTACCTCACCGCATTCGCGACCTGCATGCGCCTCGCCTGGACGCAAGTGGGCTTTGGAACCTCGCCGGCGAAGAGATCGAGGATGTAGAAGCCGAGGAAGAGGCAGCTCAGTCAAAGTTCCCTCGCGACGGCAAGCCGCGTTCGACACCGGCGCCACCTCCGCTTGACAAGGTCAAAATCTGGAAGAGCGCCTTCTTCCGCGAGCGCGTACTCGAACGAGCACGTGGCGCGCTCGAACCCTATGCGCGTCTATTGCATGACAAGCATTTCTTCTTCTATGACCGGTATGTCATTGCCAAATTCGTTTCTGGAGGCATCATGCTCACAAGCCTTTCAGCCCGACGTCCTTAGATGTTCTGTTAGCGTCTCATATCCTGCTGCTCACGTCACCGCCATTCCCCGACCCACTGCTTGGAGACCTCATTCGCGACGCATTCCCCTCACTGCTCGCACACGCGCAGGCAGTACTCTCAGAAGCCCTACCTTCACGGCCGTTCTCTGCAAACTACGTGACAGCGCCTCAGCAGTCCACCGCGCTCAGCACTTTGTTGCCGCCTTTCAGCGCGCTGTGGAAACACCCTACGCCGAAGGAAAAGGCGAGCACGGCCGAAGACGTCAAGTTCCAGCGAGGGCGATTGCTTTGGTTCGGGGTCGCTGCACTTGGCACAATTGGATATATGCTGTTCGCCCCCACTACGTTCCAGTTTGTGTTCGTCAAACCTGACGAGGTCGAAGCAGAAGGCGCCGATGACGAAGAAGACGAAGAGGAGGAAGAGGGAGAGAGCGAGTAACGATTGAATTCCATATAGCATAGTGCATAATGTGCGCGACTTGCGCCAGCGCCTAATGATACTCTCCAAAACGTACATGCCCTGTTTGGCTTGCGTGTTCCCTTGCTCCCTTCTCCCCCTTGAGACCCTGTCCGCAATCCTGTTCTGCGCGTGAGTTCGATGGCTCCATGTTCACCCGAGTGAAGACGAACCTCGCATTTCAGGTCAAATGTGGCCGTGTTCGTGTACATGCGCTTCTTGCGCAGCTTGTCGGCGAGCTGCTTGAGTGCTGCCAGGATCTGTGGGTTGCCAGAGTTGAAGACGGTCGTACTGAAGTCATCTGGTACATCCAGCGCAGGCTTGAGAATCGCGGCGTCGTAGTGGATCCCTGCAATGACCATGAATACATCTCCCCGTAAAATGGATTTGGCGACTAACCGGAATAGATCAGCAGTACGCAGTTGCCTGAAGAGACTCCCGAGGTGGGCGTGAAGTTGTCGATTCGGCCGGTCTCGACGTCGATAGATGCGATCTCCGTGGAGTAGTACGACGCAAGGATAGAGAGCTCGATGGCGCCGCCCCAAGAGTCCTTGGAGGTGATCACGCGAATGTACTCCTCCGGTGGACGACCCAGCATGGCTTCTGTCCATGTTCCAGGATCCTTGCGGATCGCATCGCCGACGACTGGAAGGCATGTGTGAGCAGAGAGTCGCCAATTGAAGCAAATGCATGACCATACCCTTGCGTATTGTCTGTGCCTTTCCTATGTCCTGCTCGAGTACAAGAGCGACCGAAGCGAACAGGCAAGAGTTGTCATCCGGTACAATCTATCAGCGAGCTCGATGAATGATGACGAAATGCTGCAAGGAAAGCGCAGTACGCGGTGAACAAGGTATCCTCCCTCGACAGAGACATATTCAAGACCACTCTTATTAGAGGACGGCGCAGATGGTGGCGGTAGAGAAGCAGGTGGATTGGTATTCACGCCGCGCGGTTCAGCTGGAAGCGGAGGTGCAGTGGGACGAGTGCTTTGGTTAATGGGCGGCGCTCCAGACTTCTGCGTCACCATGATCTGGTCCCCGCTCTTGATACCAAGACTAGACAGAGGTAGCTCGGGAATGACGGCCTCCAGTGCAGTTGGAGGATAGCCGATCTTGAGTTCCTGCTGTGAGGGCATGATCTCGGACACGCCGAAGATCTGGTTCAGTAAGTCTTGTACAGTCGCATCAGGAGATTCCAAGTCTACAGTCAGGGTAGAAACGCCTTTGGGGTGTCGTAACCGAAGTTTAGCGGGCATGGTAGTCGTCGAAGGCAAGCTATCTTTGTGGCTTGCGGTAGACGCTCGCGTCAGTGCCGACGGTCAGCAGTCCGGCCCGATGTCCGGCAGTTCAACTTTTGCCCCTGTCGCGGCTTGGACGCGCCTCGTTCCCTCTTCCCGCCTCTCACCTTCGCTCGCTCTCCCCTTGCACCCTCTCTTTCCCCTGCTGCCTGCTGCTATATCTTTATCTCTTAACGCTTTGTATTGCTTTGTACTTTGGGATCGTTGCGAGTCTGTCTGGCTTTATAAGGAAAAGTTACAGTGCGTTGCGAACGTTAATGACGCGACTGTCTCACTTTGACGGACGGAAGCAGATCATGCCCCCGGCCATGAGCCTCAAACAATTCCGCGCTTGGATCACTTCCGGTGGCGAGGCGTTGAACATATACTCGCCCGTCTATAACAAGCACACAAGTACAGCTTCTTGCTACATTTTAGCCGAACCTGGTCAGGTACGGACCTGTCGCCGTAACCACGCGACACGAGCCACAGCTAATTTGAGCGATCCTAGCACTTCGCCGTCAACTGGGAGGACCTTGGTACTGGCATTGACAGCGCCGCCTACATCTTCCTGGACGGTTTTGCGGTGCCCGGGCGCTACTTGTTCGGCAAAGGGCTGGCGTGGCGTAACGGTGTGCGGGCGTCCAAAGACACCGAGAAGCCGTTCGCGTTCGGGACCGTGGATGCTGAAGGTTAGCATTTGCACTTTGATACGCGCGATGCGCTCATATTGAAGCTTGATCCAGAACCGGTGGGCCAGGCCGGCAAGGTCGATACCAAACGGCATGGTCAGATCGTTCTCAAGATTCGGAGGATCGTGCGCGTCGGCGGCCACGAGCTGAATCCAATCGTCTCTGTGCCTAATCGCCCGCCTGGCGCGAAGAAGAATAGCCTATGTGTCAAGTACGCTCGTTCTGCCAATCTACCAGCCTGTGTACTGATCTCTGTCTCCAAGACTTGGTCAGGAAATGGAGACTTCGGCTCAGCCACCCGCTACCTGGAAGTTCAAACCCTATGACGAGGAGAACCCGCATGCCTACGTGACCTTCATATTCAAATACCGATCTCAGTGTAAGCCTTGCTTTATTGTTTGACGCGGAACTTGCCGTGAAACTGATGAGAGCGCCCATAGCTTTCATTGACGAAGAAGGGCTCGATCCGATAGATGTGGAGGAGTCCGAAGAGGAGGATGTTAAGCACATGCCTCCTCCGTCGCGTATGGCTACACGTAGCAACGGCCGCAAAGTTTCGCAGCGCGAGGTCAAGGAGTCTTCGCCCGATACTTCTCAGGACTCTTCCGCCTCGAGGACATCTGTCAAGCGCTCTCGCGTAAGTAACTTGCCTCTTCCCAGGGTTTCCACGTTTTGATGAGTACGCACATGTTCAGGTGATCTCGACCAGCACGACGGAACCGCGCAAGTCGCAGCGTGTTGCCGAAGAGCAAGTTGCCTCCTCGAATGACCCTCGCCACACGCCAGCTCCTGAGACCCCGCAAAACGGATATGATGCTATCTCCACACCCTCAAGCAACACCTTGCCCACATTGTCGCTACCTCCTCCTACGGTCTCGCTTACTCAGCCGTCCAACAACCACTATCGCCAGAACGTACCTCATTACGGACCGGGTGCGGGCTCTTGGAACTACGCCAGTCTTGCTAGCAACTCTGCTCAGAACCCAAACCAGAATTCTTACCCCAGTTCTACGCCGAGCGCACAGGGCTCGGCCCAAAGTCCCGCGAGTGCAGTATCGCCCTCGGGTGTGCAAGCGATCATGGCTTCCATTGGTCCTTACGCCACAGGGCACTACCGCTCGCGATGAGCGAAAAGGAAACCTCAATACGAAATCACTGAAACCCGCCGCTTTTATTTAGCCAGTGTTTGCTATTGTTCGCTGCTTTCGGGTAACCACACGTGGACTCTGCCCCCTTCGCACTCGTCATCACCGCTCATCAATCTCTATCCCCACGTTCCTCCCTGCGCACAACACAGCTGCTGTTTATTATCCTCTCCATTCCTCTTGCCTCGCTATCTACTAGTGCACTTCGTGATCGCTATGCCCCTTGCCTTCTCCTACTGTCTCACTTGTTTCGCTTTCCATCTCCATATCTACCTTGCTGCCTGCTTACTAGTACTTTTACGTCGAACAGTCCATGCTTCCTTTACAAACTCATGTTGATGAATACGCCCACATTTCATACTAACGATTCAAAGCACTTTTGAGTCTACCGTACCGACTCTCATCGAGCGCTGTCGTTATCCCAGAGTTCTATTGTGGTAATACTATGTTTATGCTCTTCAATAACACACCCGCTTTCCGATCGGAACACCTCTTGTTCCGGCTATTAACCGGCGCAGAGGCAAGCCTATGATCGCTCTCTGTAATGGAGTACTCAAACATCAAGGCACACCGTGGGTGGCGGAGCCGCCTGGTCCTGGAGCCGCACTCTATCGAGTCAACTCAATCATTCTCTTGCTTGTCTCCGACCACCATGGGCGCTCATGGACTTGACCCCGAAAAGGCTCCCGCGAGTGTAGAGAGAGATGATACTGCCTCACGACTGACAGACGCAAAACGCCGCACCCGCTTCACACTAGCGCTTTTGACCGTATTCGTACTCTGGGTTCTTACGATCTCGTCGCCATATACTGCACTGTGCGCTACTCGTGCACCCTCTAGCAACATCGAGCACTTGCAGAATGATGGAATGAGTGTCTACTCTGAACATCGGTTCTACCATACCTTCTCCCGAGTACCCGACCACATGTGCCCCAGTGTTGTCCCTGGAACTCCTTCATACAGCGGCTACATCGGCGTACGGGGTGATAGTGAAGATAGCCCAAGACGAACATTCTTCTGGTGAGCGGATGCGGTCCCTTTCTAGCCAACCTGAGGATCCCTCTCCTGAAACGTGACTGAATCATATCGCAGGTACTTCGAAGCTGAAGAGAACGCTGCAGATGCGCCGCTTATGTATATGCTTTCCACTCCATGAAGTGTCACGGAGTCTCACGCGTCACTACTATTGCTAGTCTTTCCTTCGGTGGCGGCCCAGGTACGACGGGTATGGCCAACTCCATGCTCGGTCTCGCGCATTGTAGGATCACTGAGAACGGAACGGTGGCCAATCCCAACCGATGGACGCAAAAGTACAACCTTCTGGCTATGGAGCACGTCTGTGGTTCATTCAGATGCGCGTCATGATGTACTAACGAGCACGGCGCGATAGCCCGTCGGGACTGGTTTCTCGTATGGTCTCAGTGTCAACAATTCAGTCGACGCCGCGCATGATGCGTATGACTTCCTGCAGAAGTTCCTCGTGTCGGTCCCTCATTTGATCAAGTATGTTTCTTGTGTGATACGCGAACTGCTGGTATTGATTGTGTCGCACAGGAACAAGTTCGTCATTACTACCGGTTCTTATGGAGGGACATATGCACCCGTGCTGAGTTCCGTCATCCACGAGAACAACAAAGCCATTGCGCGGGGTGAAGGGATCCCTGGTGCGGCACCAATCAACCTCGAATCCGTGATGATCAGCAATCCTTTCTCGGTACGGGCAGTGTTGCTATACGTTGAGTTGGCAGTCTGATTGGCAGCGCCGAACAGGACCCAGTACGATGGTTTCAGTGGCTTCTTCACTACAGATGCGAGCTACACAGCGTTTACAACGAGACAACGTGTGCAGAGATGTATGCTAAGCTTCCCGGATGCCTTGAAGAGCTCGACTATGCCCTACAGAACTCTACGGTGGAGACACGCACGCATGCGCAAGATATCTGTATTGAACTTGCAATTGGCGATCGACATGGTACGATGTCAGAGGACATTCGTAAGACGGTGGGCTCCACATACTTAGTCAAAGTCGTGCAGAGTGCTCATGTGCGCTGATAGTGCGTCCCAGACGATGCGGACGACCCTATTGATGCATGCTATCCTGAACCTCTGCGATGGATGAACGACTTCTTTCGAAAGAACGAGACAAAGGAAGCCTTGAACGTGCCGGAAGGTGTCGAGTTTCAGGCATTGAATATTGACATTAACCGGGCATTCCAGGAGTATGGAGATCGGTGAGTGGTACAACACATTCGCTGGTGCCTTGACTGATGTTCCTTAGCATACATCCATACCACAAGTTGTATGAACCGCTCCTCGCAGACGGCGTACGGCTCTTGCGTGAGCGACCCTTAGCCATATATCAGTGCTGGTACTCACCGAAACGTACGTAGATCACGTTGGGATGCAAGATGCGAATTGCGCCCATCCCGGAACATTGTCCTTCGTGAGACAGACTTACTTGCAGCCACCCGCTACTGCTGACACCGGGATCTCGTCTGAAGCTAAAGCTCTTGAAATCTCCATCATCCGAGCAGTTCCGCACGGCTAATGATGTGCCGTGGTTCACGGACGGCAAACCGTCTGGGACAGTGCGCGTTTCTGGCCCTGGCGGAGCTGGTCAGCTTACGTACCTCACGTACAATGATGCAGGGCACTTTGTGAGTGGCTCTGATTTGACGGGCGTATGTTTATGAAGAGCATACCCTGACTAGTGTGGCAGGTCGCATGGGATCAGAACCGAGAGACTAAATATGTCGTTGAGCACTGGATCGACAATGAGCCATTCGTCTAGTACAGCGTACGGCCGCATATATACACATGTTTAGATATCGGACATAAATCCTAGGACCAAAGCCGGGCGACGCCTGTGAACACGGTGAGACTCGAGCGCAGGGACGGCGTTAAGGGTGAAAACGTACTCTCAAATAGGCCACGTAGCGGTTTTGGCTTGTGCTCGCTCCACCATGCAATGAGATCTTGCATCATTTCGAACCAGTCCTCCTCCGTCTCGCGTCCCTCGACCCATCGGTACACGAACTCCTCTCCCAACGGCTGCACGCCTTGCTTCCACGCCATGAGGAGCTCAAAGCCATTCGCATATGTCCATACCCTCCACGGTTCCGTGTAGTTCACGTCCATCGATGGCACGCCTGGATGGCCTGCGAGTCCGCGGTGTTTGAGGTAGTTGATCATATTGTCCTCGAATCGCGTGTGCTCGCAGTTATCCTCGTATCCCACGGGCCTGTGCCCGACGTGCAACGGCTCGTATCCGGCCTCGCGGACGCACTGTTCGCGGCGAATGAGTGCTGCGTATAGGTCCTCTCGCGTGTCAAGTAGCTCTGGGCGAGCGATCGTGTATGCAGCAAACAACCCCTGCGCATAGTTGCACATGCCCGTGGGGTTAATGGTCAAGAGACCATTGAAGTACAGGGCACCCTGCATTGAACGCGTCAGAGCTAGCCTTGGAAACAGCAAAGACGACGGCTCACTAGAGGATATCTAGGATCAAGTGAAAGAGTATGTTCATAGATCGGGCGCACATAACGGCCATTCATAGCAAGGAGCCTGGTCGCATTTGTGTGTTCCTCAACCTCGTCTAGCAATCCAGCCGCTGTAAGGAAGGGTACTTGAGGCTCGAAGCCAGTGGCAAGTATGACAGATTGGATAGCGTGCGCCTGTGTCCCGTCTTTGAAGTTGACGGTCCCGTTCTCATGTACTTCGATAACCCGGGACCTTGCCTCAACACCTGTAGGAATCGGAAAATCGTGAGCATCAGGGTTCTCTTTTCGCGTATCCCGAGCCCAGTACGTCTACACATGGGTCAGAAGTAGTGGGACAGGCTGCGACGAACGCATGCATACCATGTTCGTGTGCCCTTCCAGATGCATAGCGATATCCCATCCGCTAGGCCCTGCGCCGACAACTACGACGTTCTGTCCAACGAAATCATCAGGTCGACGGAAGTACATCGAGTGTATCATGGTCCTGTTGGCGGCAAACCATTCGTCTTCACCTGCTACGTGGGTATCGCGAGGGAAGTGATTGCCGCCGGTGGCGACGATGAGATGGTCGAAGGCTTGGTGGAAGAGTCTTCCATGCTGTTTGTCTTCGATCGAGATGTCCCAGTAGCCCTCCGTCGCCGAGCCAACCCACTTCGTCTCAAGAACGGAGTGCTGCAGCTTGATGTAAGAGGAGAGGTTGAAGTCCTGGACTGTATCTTCATGGTACAGCAGAACCTTCTCGTGTGGTGCCATCAGCTCTGTCTCCGGCCGGAAAGTTGTATTGGGTAGTGTCACTGCGGAGCGCGTAAGGATCTTCGCCAAAGGTTGCGTGACGTCGTGTACTCACGAAGCGGGTGCGGTCCGTTGGTCTGGAGGTTGTCATATAGAGGAGTCTCAGGGATCTTTGGCGGAGAGGGAACGGGCTTAGTATCTGGGCGCCTAACGGGCCGTTGAACACAGACGGGGTCAAGTAGAGATTCGACAACGCACCAAAGGCCGCCAACGCCCACGCGCTCTTCGAACGCTACGACACTCCAACCCCGCCTCATCTCCTCGTCTAAGTCCATGATAGCCTTTAGAGTACCAATGCCAGCCGCACCTGCGCCGACGACGGCTATCCTCTTCGTCGGTTGAGCATCGAAGACAACTTGCTCGTCATGATCAGGCTTGAAATGCGCGACGACGAGGGTCGTTCGTAGCAGGGTCAAAAGCAGAAGGAAGAGGGACATGGTAGAGGGAAGGCTACGCGCAGTTTGTCCACTGGGAGATTCGTGCTTCTTATATGCGCCAGACGGAGGGCGCTTGGGCGTCAGATCACAACACGACTTGGGAGTACCTCCGGAGTGACTCTTCACAGGTTGCGGTCCCGGAGTATTCGCATGCTAGCAGTGACTACTGTAGAGTAGAATAGACTCAGACAGAGTACATTGATCGGTTACAGGAAGCGATCTCGAGTGGACGCAGGACGCAAGCGACCTCTGCGCTGTCGGTCGCTAGACGTAATCAGCGCCACTCAGCTTTCCCATGCTCAGGCTAACGAGCCACCCAGAGAAGTATCGCAGCTCGAGCGCTTGTAGGCCACGACAAAGTACGTGCACAGCATACCGCTAATGTAGAATACATGTACGACGCCAGCCAGTGAGTGCATGTGTATACTAGATGAACGGGTAGTCGCTGGACCGCCAGTGGTAGACGGAATATGAGCTTAGAACCAGAAGAGGGGTACATCTGCAGAGGTATAGTCAGTCAAGCGCCCTTTATCACAGTTCGAGAGGCTGACGTACCATGAAAGGAGCTCTGCAACGCCTTCGGCTTGTGCTCGTCCCACCACGCAATGAGCTTCTCCATCAACTGGAACCAATCCTCCTCCGTCTCGCGACCTTCAACCCACTGGCGAACGTACTCCTCGCCCTGAGGCTGAATACCCTGCTTCCAAGCCATGAGCATGTCGAACGCCTTGAAGTACGTCTGCTCTCTCCGCGTGGTCGTGTAGTTCACATCGAGCGCTGGTACACCGGGAGATCCCGCGAGTCCGTGGCGCTTGAGGTAGTTGATCATCTCGTCCTCGAACCACGTATGCTCGCAGTTTCTGTAGCCTAGCGGTCGATGGCCTGCGCGTGCTGGGTCGAAACCGGCTTCGCGAACGCACTGCTCGCGCTTCACTAACGCGTCGCGTAACTCTTGACGGGAGTCGAGTAGTTCTGGGCGCGCGATCGTGTATGCCACGAACAGCCCTTGAGCGTAGTTGCACATGCCCGTCGGGTTATACGACAAAAGACCGTTGAAGTACAGGGCACCCTGTGCATCGTCAGAGCGAAGTCGATCGAGTAGCCGTTGAGGCTTACAAGGGGATACGTGGGATCGAGCGAGAGCGTGTGCTCATAAACGGGACGCAGATAGCGGTTGTTCGTAGCCAGTCGCTGAGTGGCGTTCGTATGCTCGGCCACCTCATCCAAGAGTCCAGCAGACGTAAGGAAAGGGACGCGACGGTCATAGCCAGTGGCAAGGATGATCGAGTGCACATTCTGTGCCTCAGTGCCATCTGTGAAGCGGACGGTCCCATTCGCATGGACACTAGAGATCCGAGGTCGCCCGTTACACCCAGAGGGAACGGGGAAACCCGGTGCATCTGGGTTCTCCTCGCGTGTGTCGCGTGCCCAGTATGTCTGCAACAATAGAGGGTCAGAACGAGAATCAGATACTGAAGTAGAGGTGAGGTACCGAATTCGTATGCTCCACCAGACGCGCAGCGATGTCCCATCCGCTGGGTCCTGCACCAACGACCACGACATTCTGGCCGGCGAAAGCGTCGGACTGACGGTAGTACATCGAGTGGATCAACGTCCTGTTCGCGGCGAGCCATTCATCTTCCCCTACAAGGTCTGCGTAGTGAGGATAACGGTTGCAGCCGGTGGCGACGACGAGGTGGTCGAAGGATTGGCGCTGAAGCGTTCCATCACGTCGATCTTCGACCAATATGTCCCAGAAGCCCTCAGTCGATGTGCCCACCCACTTCGTTTCGAGGACTGAGTGCTCGAGTTTGATGTAGGGAGAGAGATTGAAGTCCTCGACCGTATCCTCGTGATAGAGCAGGACCTTCTGGTGGATGGGTATCAACTCCGTCTCTGGCCTGAAGAGGGTGCCCGGAAGCGTCACTGAGAGCCGTGTCAGAGGTTTATACGGGCTGGCAATGACGTCTTACTGTGCGGGTGTGGTCCATTGGTTTGCAAGTTGTGGTATAACGGCGTCTCGGGTATCTCTGGTGGCGAGGGGACAGGTTTGGTATCTGGGCGCCTAACAGGATAGTTAGCCGCTGATTGAGGTACGCATCATTGCTGTCACACACCATAAACCGCCAACGCCCGCGCGCTCCTCGAATACTACCACGTCCCAGCCGCGTCGCAGATCCTCGTCCAGGTCCATGATCGCCTTCACGGTGGCGATCCCAGCCGCACCAGCGCCGACAATGGCAATCCTCTTGGTCGGCTGAACGTCGAAGGTGACCTGCTCGCCGTACGCGCGCCCGGCGCGCGCGACCCCAGCACCCAGCTGGAGGACCAGCAACAACGGAAGGAAGAGATACATCGCAGACGATGGTTCGGGGTCAAATTGTGGATGAGTGCCTTGCTGCTTATATGTAGACATAGACACGCTCGGCGCTCGCATCATATTATCAGTAGGTCCGGAGCGGCCCTTTTTGCGCAATCCGTCGCCGCGATGCACACATGGTCAATTACTGCGATTGAATTGAGTAGAAGATGCGTGGTGCAAAGTTCGTGGTGGAGGCAGGACGCAAACTGCGCGCGGCGACTGGATATCTGAGGAACGCACTGCGCTCACTGCGGCATCCTCGCTCAGGATACTCCCCTTCGAGCACTAGGGCATCTAATCCTCTTGGATGACGGATAATCGTGCTCTACTTATGTAGACAGGCTTGTATGTGTAGCGATCGCGATATGTCCAACGAAATCGGGTCTGATAATACAGCATTGCTAGATGATGATACAAGTACGTGCGAGTTCATCTAAGCGTGATCCCTCTAAGATAGCAATGTATGTCCTGTCGTGTTATAGGAGGAATGTAGAGCTGCGCAGCCAGGATAGCTCCTTAGGCTCTCAGAGCGCGCAGAGCACGCAGGCAAGGCTGAGCAGGGCCGCAAGCAAGTGGCGCGAGGGAACGACAGTATGAGGACTGTCGTTTGCAGCACTTCCTGACGCGCTGGTGGTGGGAGAAGCCGTCGGCGTGATAGTCACTGTGCTGGCCGGAGGTAGTATCACGATGCTTGTCGTCGGACGTGCGACCGCCGTTGACTCCGGAGTAGAACCTATGCAACGACATGTCAAGTGAGGCATACGGGATATCGATTGCGTAGACGTACCATTGAGAGATACGTTATAGGCCGAGGTATTGCTCCAGAGATTGCTCCCCTGCAAACCGACAGTTCAGGAGCGAGACAGGGAGGGCATATGCGATACGCGTACAGAGACAGGAAGGTAGGCCCACGATGGGACGCGTGTGTTGTTGGGTATAGTCTCGGGGTATCTGAGTGAAGGTGACGGAAGTCAGTCGTCTGGCGCAGGGTCTCTTGGTGAAGGTGTTACGCACTCGCCATCCACCCAGACCGCCGAGCAATTGTAGGACCATTCGAACCAGCTACATGGCATGAGCTCACATCTATCGAGCGGATAAAGAATGCTCACGTAGACCACGTCGAATTCTGGCAAGCCGTACAAGCGGATATCAGGGAATATGCAACCGTATTGCACTTGCACAGGTCTTGCGCATCTGCTGAGTCCGTCGCGTTGGCTTTCGGGCCAGTGTAATGTTGTCCGGGTGAAAGCGCAGGCAGAGTGAAGGCTGCATCCTCGTTAAAACGGGCGTGGCAAAAGTCAACGATTCGAACGCACTGCCATTGCTACACACGCCCTCGAGAGATGCCGCTATCAAGCATGGGTTCTGTCCGAGGCTATTGTACGTCTGTACGACTATCGTTAGCGATTCGACAGAACCCGTGCGCCGCGCGATAATACGCACCCAGTTATAACTCGGGACAGTGCAATTTGGCGCACTAATCGCCGGCGCCACCCCGGCGGCAACGGTGTCAAAAGCGAAAGCGAGTCCCAGTCCAAGCAAGATCATGAACATAGCCAGCACATCCGTCCTCGTCGCTCAAGACAAGCCGCAAGGATCGTAAGAGGCTCTCTAAGCGATAGCCGGCGTGTGCGTCGTTTCAGACAAGCTCGGATGGAGCGATGTTACCTCGGCCATGTCAGACTCCGCCGCCCGGCCCTAGCGCGCGGCGCGTGCCGATAGCGTGCGCGCACTGCGCTGGCAACCTTCGGGATGAACATAGGATTGTGTGCGAGGACGATGGAGGGCACTACACTCTCGCATGCTCATGGTGGTGGTAAGAAGTAGGGAAGCATCTGACTACCCATTCAATGACTTATTTCGGGTCAGGGTAGCCAAGCCGTTCACAAGCCCGGGCTCTTCGGAGAAGCAGATCAAGCCCCTATTTTCGGCGCCTAACAGACTTGTGCGGATGTTCGAATGAAATGGCTCATGCAGTCAGGCTGTTTCGATATTTCGCAGTACTCAAAACGGTTGCTATGCAGCTGTATCAACCCGGCCTCCCGTAGATGGAGCAGGACTTCGGCTCTTTCATGCACTTCATGTCACTACTACGTCACAATGTCAATCATCATTCCATCTGTATATCGACACCGTCCTCCTTCGCAAGAGCCAACGCCTCGGCCTCCTTCTGACCAGCGTATGTGATGAGCCCGACCAGTATATCCTTCTGCCCGCTCACATACTGATCAAGCATCACAGCGACATCGGAACGGATGGATGGTGAGCCGCCGATGTTAGGCAGGCGTTCCATCATCGTTGTCGACAGGGAATCTAGAATTTCAGACGCGTCGAGCATGAGCGACCATGTTGGGGGTTCTTCTTCGTCTTCATCGGCATCCTCGCGAGGCTGTGACCTGACCGTCTCGAGGATCTCTGCCCAAAGTCCCTCAACCCCGCGCGCATTCCGACCGATCTCCCATCTCTTGCCCGAAGCATTCGGACCTCCAAGTTTCAAAACCAGCGTGTCATCGGGATTGTGAGGAAGGGTAAAGCCGTAGCCAAGAAGCAGCTCGGCATTCGGTTTTGGACCGTAGTTGTTGAAGACCTCTACTCCAGCCGGGTATAAGGTGTGAGTTTGAAGACAAACGGACATCTTGTCGTTCGGGGAGGAAACTGAGGAAGAGTCGGACCGTATAAGCCATGAGACAGGATTCGCTCTAGCGTGGTTCAATGAGTCTACGCCGGGGAGAAGGACAGGGTGCGATTCCTGAGTTTGCACCAAGGAGGGTGCATATGACAGTAGTGTGGATGGGAAGGCCCTCGAAGACAGGTACGTTGAAGCCGTCAGATATCTGTCCCTACAGAAGCCAATCAGATATGATCGGGATTAACAATACACGTACACACCACGTGAGGCCTTCTGCCCATCCTACGTTGACCTTCGCAATATCGCTCTGACACTTCAACCACTCCTCTTGCCAATCCTTCCTTCTATCGAGTGTAGCGCCGTACATGTTACTTCCCCGCAGTGCTTCCAGTTCAGCATCTGTGAAGTGTAGCGGAGTGCGCAGAAGACGATGGGATGGCAGTGTATCAATGTAGGGCCGATGGGCCAATGAAGGGAAGCTGTCGCACAGGATCAGTAGGCAGTATGATCGCACAATAGATCTACGCACCTTGAAACATCTACTATCCAGTGAAACGCGATATAGCAGCATACAAGCTGCCTCTCGGTCCAGTCCTTCAACACGTCATCTCCATCCAATAGCGCCGAGAGCGCGCTCCGCGAAAGGGCTGGCGTTACAGCTAGGGAGAACGGACAAGAGGCGACGATCGCATCCGGCTCAAGCACCTCTGATGTCGTGATGGAGTAGCCAGAGTTCACTGACTGTCACTCGCATCACATCGACTTCAAGGAAGGGGGAACGTGCGGTACCGGGCGTATAGTGGACATGTGGATGGAAGCTGCCTCCGCTAGCCACGAACCAGTCTTTGAACTTTTGTGCAGCTTCGGGCTCCTCTACACGCTCAGTCATTATACTAGATTGAGAATCGAGACTCTGAGGGTAGGTGATGATTGTTTGCGATGAGCGTTCTCGGCAAAGTGCTGCTGCAGATCAGTGGCGCGGAATTTCGCGGTAGATACGCGGTCAGGTGAGCATCGCGTCGACGCCGTCTCGGTGTTCGCTCGGGTCGCGCGCGCGTTCCTGCTCAGCAGCCGAGGCGTGCCCTGCGAGGGTAGTCGGGTTCGCAGATTAAAATCATTCCTCCCCGTGAATGTCTGGTTCATGTTCTACCGACGTGCTTTGAATTACATGTGGTCTATCGACGTCTATCTAAAACAGGCCCAGTTTATATTCTATCATCTATTGATCTAGGGGGACCTGCGCTCCATGAACCCCTCGCCGAACGCTAGAATATTGATCTAATCTCTAAAAATGTTGTCCGATGGCCTTCGATGTAGATCAGGGAGTGGTGATGGTCACCTCCACCCCAGCGTCGGTAACGGTCATAGTCACGCTGAGCAGTGTTACTAAACCCGCGGGATACATGGAGAAATTGACTTACCTGTCAAGTTTGTCCACCAGGAATGTGGGATTCACGGCTTCCATCACCTCCCGCGAGTGGGACGTGACAACACCGAGGGTCTTGCAGCCAGCCGCATGGCCGCTACGAACACCTACAGGCGCATCTTCGACAACAAGACCTATGGGCAAAGTTAGACCGGATGATCGCACCTCTATCTGCGGAGGAGCTCAGACTCACACTTTGTAGGGTCCACTCCCAGCCTCGACGCGCCCAGCAAGTAGGGGTCAGGTTGAGGCTTCCCCTTCGTAACGTCCTCCGCGTAGACGAAGCTCTCTGACCTGTCTATGCCTACAATCTCCAATGCCGCAGTAGCATACGAGCGAGTGGCGGACGTGCAGACGGTCCATCGGCGGCCCACATGCGGCCCAAGCTTATCGTGATTATGTCAGTATTGGCGTATCTGGGTGAGATGTTGGCAATACATTGCCGATGATCTCTTTGACCCCAGGGAGAAGTACGATGCCCTGACGCCCGCCCTCCGAAGACGTCGTGACGATCAAGTGCTCGAACCGTTCCGCTTCGCGCTACAGAATTACGATTAGCACGTAGGGATGCTGGCGAGCAAAGCTGGTATAAGTACCTCGATTTCGTCGGGATCAGTCAGGCCGCAGTACTTGCGGAGGCTTTCCACGGTACGGACACCGTGCGAACCTTGTCAGATATATGGTTTCCAGCGGCTATCACCACGTTCAGCTAGTATGCGTACTGCTGAGTATATCGTGGACATCGATGCCAGGATAGTCCTTCTCGAAAATCTTCCAGGCACCGATGACACCCGCGGTGGAATCAATGAGCGTGCCGTCCATATCGAAGAGGACGGCGTCAAAGACGTGTGTAGTGGTAGGCATTGTTGATGACGTCTCGAACTTCAGGTCCGTCGGCTATGTGCTGTCAACGAGATGGTGGTAAGAGACGAGCAGCGATTTGACGGCGATCTCATACTTAAGCGTACGTACGGACCGAGTCAGGTAAACCCGGACGGATCAGAATGCGCGGACAAATGAGTCCGGCAAGTAGCACGTTGCTCGCAGCAAGGCCCGTTGTAGATAGTAGACGCACCATCGCAAGTGCAATGTATCGTGTCCGTGTACAGTCCATTAAGGGTAACAGCGATCGAAGTAAATCTACGAACACAGGCCATCTCCACGCAGATCACTCGGCTACTAACACCCTCTCCTGGTCCTTCCTAAGTTGGGCTTTATCCTCCGAGGCGGGTGAAGGTGGCTCTGTATCCGCAGGTTCTCGGTCCTTCTGGTCCTTCTCTAGTCTGGCCATCTCGTCCTTCTCGCGTTCCTCGAGGGCAAGCTTCTCCAGCTCGTCGGCGAGCTCGTCCTCGTCGATCTCGTAGCCTGCAGCTTCGCCGGCGACCTTCCCACCCACTGTCACTACGTCCTCGATCTCCTTGGCATCCGCGTGTGCATCTGCGAGGGCTTCGAGCGTCTTGTCGACAGACTCGCGTTGTAGGGCGGGATCGTTGAGTAAAGTGCGAAGAGTTGCGGTCGACGACTGGTAGGTCTTCATGATCTACGGTAGCACGTGAGCAAGAAGACTCGTGCAAACAGCGGTTGACCTACCTGTATGTTGTCCGCCGCAGCCTCTACACGTTGCAAAGTGCTCTGCAGTGTCTCCAGCGCACCCAGACGCTGAGTCAGGAACTCAGTCAATTGCTTGCGCGAACGGAGGTAAGTCTTTGCGATGTCCTGCTGTTTGTTCTTCACGGCAGCCTGTGCTTTCGCAGTGCAACTGTAAGACAGCGTCAGAAGGAGGCCAGATCTGAAGTGGCATTGTGACGTACGCCTCGATCTTCCGTTGCAAACCTTCGACTTGCGCTTGTAGGTTACCGAGTGCGGTCTTGAGCTCAAGTATTCCATGGTCCACCCCCGTAACTTCTGGAGCGCCAGTGGCCTCGTCGACAAACTTGAGAACCTGGTCGATACTGTTCAGTGACGTGCCTAATGTAATATAGAGCCTGGCGAACCTCTTTGTCGGAGACAAGAACCTTGCGATCTCGTTGTAGGAACTTTACGAGCACACGAAGGTCTGCGTCAGATAGCGTCACATCTGGCAATGCATGTTCTGCGAACGCAGCCCTGAAGGAGGCGAAGTCGTAGAGGGCATCCGCAAGGTTCACCCCAGCATCAGCTTGACGTGCTGTGACTGCGTCTGCAGCCTGCTCGAGCAAGGCCAACACAACGTAATCGCCCTTCGCTTTCTTCCACCTCACCGTATCACTCTCATCTTCACCAGACGAAACCACGCCAGCTTGCGAGAGTGCCCACCACAAAGGTTTGCCGATGACATACGACGCGATGCGGTATGGTAGCCAGCCGGGTTCGTAAACGGATTGTGTCGAGTTCACGAACTGTGTAAAGGGAAGGATATGTCTTGCAGCGGCTAGTTCGGTCTTCGCTAGGTCGTGTGTCGGTGATATTATACGCGCCACAACTAATGGGAGTGCTTACGATGACTGTGCCTAGCCCTAAAGGCTTCCCGGTCCCTTCATATCTTAGCGCTTCAGGTAGGACAGCCGGATCAGCGTGGAGAATGAGTTTATCTGTCGAGCGTGGTTGCCAGCCCTTGGCCAGAATGGCCTGCAACGTCGTGTGCCACCATGTTACGATAGACTGGTATGAAGACGGATTTGACTTCTTCTGGCGGGATATATCTGCGTAGAGTGACCGCAGGCGCTTGGTAGATGCAGACGAATATGTCGGTAATGAAGCCAAGTCAGAAAATGGTATCTGGACGCGCGAGGTCATGGTCTTGCGCAAGCTCGCAAGGCCACGGCGAGGCAAGACGGCGCCGCACCGGGCCGAGTCCGGCGCGTATTATTCCCAGGCTTTGGCGCGCTCAATTGCCTCTGACATCCGGCTTGACCGAGTTTGATGAATGCACCGCCTGCAGGCGCTCATGCAGGGGCAACATGTGTCCTCCCACCCACTTTACTACGCCAAGGAAGGGTAATTCCGGTGAAATGAGCCGGGGGACTACATGATCTAGCGGGGATAGTCGTCGACTACCCTCTTCCTCGGCCCCCATCGTCGTCCGCTCGCCGCACGCCCCAGTTATCTCTATATAATGTTCGTGAGAGGTGGCTCGCGCCTACCCGAACTGGCGGCGCTGATCTCTGCTTTGATTGCGCCTGCACTGGGCCAGGTCTCTGCGGTGGAATGCTCTGTTGGCGCCTATGACTGGGTATGTCCATCGCCTGATTCGGCATCGACCTGAGTTGACCGTTCGGCGTAGGCCACGAACTCATTGGGGCAAGACGCCTGCCTCCAGGCTGCGTACGTGGTATCGGCGTGCAACAACGGCTTCGCCAACGTCACGGCGCTTATCGATCCCGAGGGCGGTACAGTATACACAGGCCCCAGCGGGATAGACGTCGGCGACATCTGCAAGTGCAATAGCGTCGGATACTCGATTATCAGTGCTTGCGCAGGATGCCAGGGTGGTTCGTGGCTTCCGTGAGTTCTCTGCTGTAGTGATACGGCGCGGCGCTGACGCACACATCTTATAGCTATTCCGCTTTCGTCTTCAACTGCACTACCACCAGTCCTCTGACAGAGTAAGGATCAATTGTTCAAAGACTCCATCACAGAGCTCATCTCGTAATCAAGGTGGCCTACCGACGTGAAGATCCCCCCTGATACTGCTTTCCCAGACTGGGCCTTCCAGAACCTTACGGTGCGTACACTCAGATGTGCATGCAATATCCGACTGAACCATACCCTCAGGCTGGTACCTGGAGCAATGCTTCTGCGGCTGCCTATAAGCAGAAGGACTCCAAAGAGCAAACATCGTCCACCTACCCGCCCCAGTCAGACTCCGGCTCGAGCAGCGGTGGGTCAAACGCTGGCGCCATTGCGGGTGGCGTCGTAGGCGGCGTTGTTGGCCTTGCTCTCATCGCCGGACTTGCGTACTGGTTCTGGCGGCGGCGTCGTGCAACGAAGCCGGAGAGCCTTGCCCCAAGTGCCGTCTACCTGGCGTCGACGCCTCAACCGCAGGAGACGAGCTTCCGCTCCAGCATCCCGATGTCGCAGCGCAAGTTTTATGTGAGTGCCTGGATTCTTGAGCGCTCGATAGCGGGCTAGTGCTGATGCAGGACCCAGGATCCTTCCGACCCGACGACCTACCCTGATGCCACTTTCACGAGTTACCAGGACTCGGAGCCCGCCACCCCTGGCACTATGTCTCCGCACCATCGGGCGATGACCTCTGTTGGCAGCCGCAGCGACTTCGCCACAGAGGCTTCCAACTACCGCGGTCTACCCGAAGTCTGATACGCCTCGGAAATGTGCTCGGAACGACAATCTATCATGTTTATCTATATCACGCGTGCCCTGGGTGCGCGAAAATGGGTGTATGTATTCTTCAATGTTCACGCTGGTGTATTACCTAGTATCGCATTTACTATAGCGGCTTGTCATCTGTCGTCTCGCTGCTGATGGCGTGCAATGCGTACTATCCAATTCTGGTGTGAGCTGGGCTGGGCGTGTACTGTCACACAAAGGTCTAGACATACGCGTACCCGGACTGTCCGTTGACGCAAGGGATGAGCTCGGGAAGTGAAGCTAGTGAAGCGTCAGCGTTACACGGCATGAGTGTGACAATCGCGTTCATCTGTTGCGCGCGCCGCGTATGCGACAGCCTACGCGGTCTCATGTTTTCATCCACCATCTCAACCAATCTCAACGATGCAGAGCATCGCTTCTGTGCTGGCACGCATTCCTCACGCATTCAAAAATGGCTCTGGCCATTGGAGATCCGGGTCAAAATGCTCGGATGATTGTACTTCATAATCGACAGGGTGTCTCGGAGGACGCGTTAGACTATGATGTTGTGCTGAACTTAACTGGGGTGCCCTAGATATCTCAACGTGTCGCTCTCTTTGACCAACTGTGCGCAGTGCTCGTACAGCCGTTCGAGCGCTTCCGGGCATGATGCGGGCGTCTCGGGCGCCGCAGCCACACAGTGGGCGTTTCATGGCGCGAACTACTCCCCGAACAAGACGGAGGAGAGAAGCTCTCGCGGGAGAAGCACCCGGCGACTGCAGCACAGGACCACAGTCTCCGGTCCGGGTCCTCAAACGGAAGAGCACCTTCCATTCGTTGACACGATCGTCTCGCGCGAAATGAGCTTGCGTATCATCAAATACTCGATCGTAATACTGCGCGAGATGAGCGGCAATGCTTCAGGTGCTAACGATATCATACGAATATAACCCCATCCTTGCGCCGGTCATCGCCTTCGCGGCGCTCGTGATAGGGTCCACTACACTTCCTACAGGTCATTTGCGGTTAGGTTCACCGCGTGCGCTCTCACACCTCCCGTCTTCTCGAACGTGTGGGTACATAGGGTAGATGGATGTACTGGTGCTACGCCGAGGACGCTTGTACCCAGTTACCCCATCCCTCCATCACCTCTGGCCAAGCACACATCTTCCTATGACCCGATTGCTGAGCATTATCGTGTCTGGCCTGGGGTTGGTAGCCGTGGTGAAGTCCCAGAACTTCAGTGCTCCGGCATGCACGGAGTCTTACTATAACTGGGTGCGTACCATCCGCGATCTCGAACGTCGATCACAGGATATTGACCCTTCGATAGGCAAACAACAGTCTGCACCAGGTGCGTCATCGTCTATCAGTTATGTGTGTAAGTTCCCCTCACACCGGGAATAGGATGCGTGTACGATGGCCGCCAACGCGCTCGCGGCTTGCGATGGAGGAGGTACTGAATCATACAGGCGAGCTTCAGTACAGGACTGACCTAGTCCTACAGAGATCACCATAACGGCCCTGATGCCTGGAAACGAATATAGTGGGCCCCAGAGTGCTGTCGAGGGCACGGATGCGTGCAAATGCAACACCGTGAGCTACTCGCTCATCAGCGCATGCGCAGGATGTCAAGGTGGCGAGTGGATACCGTGCGTCACAGACAGGTTCCTTGTATGCCAGTCATGATCAGAGCTCATTCGATCCTAGGTACAATTTATTTGTGACCAACTGCTCTTCAGCATACGCTAACTTTTCTCGCGGCCAGTAAGGTGCCCGGTTAGCTCACTTCTGACCGACGTCTCACCTTCCTTCGATCCTTAGGTATGCTCCTAACGTTGAGATACCGGCGGGCACCGCATTCCCGGCTTGGGCTTATGATCCGCTTGGGGTAAGCACCTGTGATTCTCTCACAAAGATGCAGTTAACAATGATATGATGTAGGCAAATACGTTCAACAACGCGACGGCCTACGATATCTTCCTCCATAACACGACCGAATTCACGAGCACCGGCACAAGCAACACGAATGGGACGACACCGAGCTCGACATCAAACTCCTCGCACAAGTCTCATGCGGGCGCCATTGCCGGTGGTGTAGTGGGCGGCGTAGTCGGCCTGGCGCTTATCGCAGGATTAGTGGCGTTCTTCCTCATCCGCCGTCGCCGCCGTACCCGCGATAGCACCATCAGCGAGAGGCCGTACACGGGTGGCGCGCGTGGGCCATTGTCCCCAACCACTTCTGAGATGAAGTCGCCTCCTCGTCTCTACGTACGTTCATCTCTCGACCTCGGCACACTGATCAACGCTGACTGCAGATCCAGAACCCCTCTGACCCCAGTACCTTCCCCGATGCCATGTTTGATGGCAGTCGTACCGTGGGCGGTAGCAGCGTTGCCATGTCTAGCCCGCCTCCAGGGTCTACCACCAACGTCACCACCAATGGGCATCACGCAAACATGCCGTCATGGGGCAGTACCGAGGTCGGTAGCACTGAGAAGGGGCACTATCATCCCGGATTGCCCGAGCTGTAAGGGCAGACAAGCTGTCACATTACTTACTAGTCTGGAACTTCGCCTTCCCATATTATAGTTTTGCGGAATGTATTCGTACGAGAGCGTGGAGTATGCTGGAGAATGGTACAGTGTGAGTGATAGATACAAAGAGCGACAGAAAACGTGTGCAATCATTGTGCAAGTCCGGAGAAAGACAATGTAGGAACGGCTTATGTCTGTCGAGTATACCAGTCAGTCGGTGAACTTTGTCGAAGAGGTGATTGAGAATGAGACAAACCATCTCGGCCAGACGGACCACAACCTGATAAATATATGGTCAGAGGGTGCGCCAAGATGAGAGTGTACAAACGTACCGCATATACTGGTTCCGGAACCTGGCGCCGGTACGTCTCTAACACTCGAGACGGGTCGGGGTGTGCCCGTAGAGCACGGTAAAGATATACAGCCGCGGGCAATGGGTTTGCTATTGCGTCTAGATGAGCACGATGCAGCGAAAGTTATGATCGACGATGCCGACATACGGTCAGTAAAGAGGGCTTCCCCTTTCTTCACGGCTTCGGTGATGTATGCCCTTCTCTCGCTATCATCCGACGGCGGCCGCTCCATCCTCACGCGCTGGACGACGAATCGCAAGTCGAGTTCAGAAACTGACGATGGAAGAGGCGGCCTAGAGTTGCGAGGTGTTGGCCTCTCTTGATGATCCACGTGAACGTCTGGGAAGGAGGCGCCGACTGAAGATACTGGAACAGGCATGGGAGCTTCTTGAACGGCAGGCGCAGAAGACCGGAAGAACTCCTTGAACGAGGTGAAATGGCTACGCGTCTCCGCACAGGAAGGGTTGGCAGACAATATGGAATAGCCTTCGGGGAGACGCGCTTTCAACGCCTGAACGCGCTTGTCTGAGGCAGGATGCGTCTGCAGTATGTCCATGCCGGACATGCCCATCTTGCGCTCTAGTTCACCCAGTCGCTCAAAGACCCTGGATCACGTCAGGCGGGCCTCAAATCAAGCGTAGACGCACTCACTCCGGAGCAGCCTTGGGATCGAAACAGGCGTTCGCGGCAAGTCGGAGTCCGACCTGATCAGCTGCGAGGAGCATGCCACTGTTAGTACGACTAGACGTATAGATAGCGGGTGGGTGAACTTGCCTTCCAGTTCCTTCTTCCGGGAGTTCGGAAGGTTCATAATTAAGGATGTGAGTAATCCTCCGGCGCCGTGTGCGCCGACCATTAGGTCGATAGCGAGCGCTATAAGGAAAGCGATGCGCATGGAAGACATGCTTTCGGCGCTGTGACGCAGAACTGTAGCGATACGTCGGTCACTCGCACATTGGAGGGACCAAAGGAAGACAATGCATACCGACATGGGCAACCTCTGCTGGATTATCAATCTCGGCGAACAACGCATGGCTTGCCGTACGCACCGTGTCCGAGCACTGCGGCCAGATGCTCGTCGTCTTGGACCACGGGAAGTATACCGGTGAACACGACGATGCTCCCTGGTGCTTGTGTAAGAATCTGGGTCACAAACGGTACGGAAATGCGTACCAGGTGCTGCCGCCGCGTTCACCATCTTGGGGTCATTAACGACGATGAGGTGCCACTCCTTGTGCGCTAGACCGCCTTTCACGTTATCCGACGAGGCAGGGGCGTCCCATCCTTCCGAGGCGTCTCGTTTCCTCCCGAATAGTATGCTCTTCATCGACATCGACTCGTCCGCACCGACTGCGTGTAAAGTACCCAGATTGTTGGCCTCGAGTATCCTTGAGGCGACGGCATGGACACGGCGGACGAGAGGGTGGTTTGGCGGGAGGATCTTTCCTCTATATTCGTTCACCATGCTACCATATGATTCCGACCACAACTGCGTATTGTCAGCCGCTACTACAGACGGACTAGGGTATTGATTGGCTCACCATTTCCTCGAACTTGGGAGAGATATCCATGAACCGTAGACGACCGGTCTCCGGTACGCGCTCTAAGCTACGCTTCAATTCAGTATGGCGTCGTGGCGCTGCGACTGTGTACGCACTGTGTCACATAGTACAATCCTGCGGCGCCTCCCAAGCCCATCAATATCTGGTAGCGTAGACGAGGCCGGGACCGTGGTGCCGTCCCACCACCAACGGCTTCGGCTATTGGCTCTGGCTTGCGGTCTCCAAAGCGCCTGTATGTCGCATTGCGAACCGCAGACGTTGAGACGTTTCTCCCAAGACGCCCGGCTGTAGGCGGTCCTTTGATCGGAGGATGGGATGCAAGTATTCTTAGGGCATGAATATTGTGGAAGGATAACGGCCGCGTTATGGACCTCAGCATCGTCAGAGGGACCAAGTCCCGCACGCGCCCAACAGAGTAGATGGTGGTTATTGATGAGATTCGAAACGGTCTCCCGCGGACATGATGCGCGCAACTCGCGCGTCAGCGCGCGTCCCGCCGGCGCGGCAGCGCAGTTCAGCGCGTCGTGGAGGTCGGATGCGTCTGAGTGCCTCCCGAAGACTGGAATACAAGGTACTCGGTATACAGCCATTCATCGTGTGGCCAAACTCAATGATAAGTAACTGTTGCCGGCAACGAGTCGACCTTTTTACTGTGCAAGGTCGCCTCCGGAGTTCGCGAGCGGTACAAGTAGCAAGTAAATGAACATAAATCTGAATGTATTCTGACACAGGGCCGGGACTAGTACAGGTACAGATCCACAAACTACAGTAGGAAGACCGGAAGAAGAAGAGGTTGTGGCGACACTAGGTGACCGGCTTGCTCACTTGTCAGAACAACCGGCCAAAGAGTGCAGCGTTGCTCTGAGGTCCCTGTAGATGAACGAAAGTCCTATAGACGTAGACAGCCGAACATGTGGTAAGACAGAGCCTGGAGTTGTTAAAAGATGAAGATGCGAACGCCGCGTTTTCGCGTATTTATCCTTGAGAATTTGCGGGTGCCCACGGCCCTGCACGTGTCCGTTCAACTCGGCCCGATCCTTGCCGCCAACACTTCAACCGAGCGACTTCTGCGTCTATCCACGATGTCCAGCGTTCCAAAAGGAAAGAAATACTCATGCAATCTATTCATTTACTTCGCCATAACCCATAGCTTACTCATGCGGCATGCGAAAGAGGCCAGATTTTCCCGTACGTGTTCACGAAGCTCAACTGGCTCTACGGCATCAAGCATTCGAAAGCGTCATCGGATAGCTCGTGCCTTGTACTTAACCCAAGATCTTGTAGTCGTTATCTACACGACGACCTCACCGGCAGACCATATCCACGATGGCCATATCCAGCGTGAAGCTCAACGACGGCAACTCTATCCCCTGGTTAGGCTTCGGTACCGGCACTGCTCTCTACGGCAAGGACTGCAAGGATATTATCTCATCCGCGATCCAGAGCGGCTTCACGCATCTTGATGGCGCGCAAGTCTACCGCAATGAGGAGTGGCTGGGCGAGGGTATCGTCGCCTCGGGCAAGCCGCGTTCAGAGCTCTTTGTAACCACAAAAGTTCACAAGATGACACCTGGCCAAACCGTCCGCGAGACGCTCGTAGAGTCACTGAAGAAGCTGAAGCTCGATTATGTCGACCTTTTCCTCATTCACTCTCCTGTGAACCATCCCGGGCAGCTCAAGGAGAAATGGAAGGAAGTCGAAGCTCTCAAGAGGGAGGGCCTCACCAGGAGCATCGGTGTCTCGAATTTCAGGGTCAAAGACCTGGAGGAAATCATGCAGGGCGCGGAGTTCGTCCCCGCCGTCAATCAAGTACGGAGTACGAGAGCTACAAGTCCGTTCGTCTTACTAATGCCGTTCGCAGATCGAATTCCACGCACATCTGCTCAAGGACTCAACCGCGTTGCTCGACTTCCACGCGAAGCATGGGATCGTCGCGCAGTCCTACGGAGGTCTCTCCCCACTATTCCGGGCCAAGGGTAGCGCGGTCGACCGTGTGGTAGAAGATATCGCGAAGGGATGGTCTAAGGATGCAGGAAAGACGTTCAATGCTGGGCATGTTATGTTGAAGTGGTTGCAGCAGAAGGGAATCGTTGCAATTACGTGCGTCATTCGCGGAGTCGTTCGAACGTCACGTCGCTCATATTATTTGCAGAACGTCGACGAAGGTTGAGCGCATCAAGGACTATCTCGCCGTAACCGATGCGCCCGAGCTCGCGAGCGAGGAGATCAAGGCGATAGATGATGCGGGCTCGAAGGAGACGCATCGGCACTTCGTGCGTTTCATCTTCTCTCATGATGATGCGATATTCAGACGTGCCACAGACGACATTCTGGCCGTCGGACGACGCGGTACTGTGAGAAAGAAGTTACACGGCTGTAATACCAGATTCCTAAATCAAGTGGATATCCTTCGTCTGAGCCGGCGCGATTCCTAAGTTGATCCCTAAGCCGTATGCCCCTCTCCGCTGCCATCACGCGCTTAGCGCCTAGGATCGTACGGAGCACATCGCGTCGGGGGCGGGACAGGCGACATTTTGACTTCCGGATACAGATCCGTGAGAAAGCGTTTACACGCCTCTAATGCCAGATTCCTAAGTCGGGTGGATATCGTCCATCGTGAGCTGGCGTGCTTAGGGATCGTACGTTTGTCCTCGCCACCATCGCGCGGTCAGCGCTCAGCGGCGTATACCATACAAGACATCGTCTGCTGACAACTATCGCTCGCACGATGGCGCGATGGTTGACGTCTCTGCGTCATAAATACCGCACCCCCGCGGTCCTGGTCTTTATCTCGTTCCTCGCTCTTCTCACTTACCCGCGTTCAAGCACACGTTCCCCGCACTCAAAGATGGCTTCTGCTAATACTCCCGTATCGCTGAACGACGGCAACACCATCCCCTGGCTCGGGTTCGGCACAGGCACCGCGCTCTACAGCAAGGACGCCGAGGCGCTCGTCGCGTCTGCGATCAAGCTCGGGATCACGCATCTCGATGGCGCTCAGGTGTACAACAACGAAGACTCGCTCGGCGCCGGGCTCATCTCGTCGGGCGTGCCACGCTCCAAGCTGTTCGTGACGACCAAGCTCGGCAAGGTGCCGGCCGGCCAGAGCGTGCGCGACACGCTTGTCGAATCGCTCAAGAAGTTGAAGCTTGACTACGTCGATCTCTTCCTCATTCACAGCCCTGGCAATCATCCTGGCGAGGGAGCGCTGGGGAAGGTGTGGGCGGAGCTTGAGGGATTGAAGAAAGAGGGTCTGGCGAAGAGCATCGGTGTCTCCAACTTCAACATCTCCAACTTGAAGGCGGTTCTCGAGGGCAACACGATCGCCCCCGCTATCAACCAGGTGCGTATATCACAGTGCCACGCACGCAAACAGAATAGCCGCTGACCATGATTGTAGGTCGAGTTCCACGCGCACGACTACGAGGAATTCAAGCCGCTGCTCGAGTTCCAGGCCAAGCATAACATCATCACGGAGTCGTACGGAGGGTTCTCTCCTCTATTCCGCGTGTCCAACAGCCCCGTCGTACCGGTCGTTACCGAGATCGCCGCTGCGAAGAGCAAGGCCGTCGGGCGCACAGTCACGAACAACCAGGTGCTGGGCCTGTGGCTTCGGGCGAAGGGCGTCGTCGCGATCACGACCTCCACGAAGCCTGAGCGCGTCTCGGAGTACTTGGCGATTGAGGGCGTTCCAGCACTTACCGACGAGGAGGTTGCAGCGATAGATGCTGCGGGCGCGAAGGAGCACCATAGGCACTTCGTGAGTGCACCCTGTCAAGTTGACCCGCTATCTCTCGCACTGACGCGCGTCTTCAGGCCAAGTACGACCCTTCTGCCTGAACGGCTCTATTGCACGTAGACGAAGCTAGATGGCCCATTCCGGAACCGGTGTTATACCTAACCGGAGCTATCGAATGTACATATACAACGACTTCTTGGACTTGTATCAGCGGATGCCGTCGGCCCGCCGTACTTGTGAACGTGACTATGCCTAGATTGCTGTAACGCGAACCATAGGATTAGCCAGAGAGCAGATGATGACAAGCATATCTGCATATACAGCAGCCAAGATGCGTTGCGCAGTACTATGAAGTCCCAGATACGGCATTCGAGCGCGCCGGCGGGCCGGTCGGCGCCTACAGGCGTCAACACTTCACGGAACTTCTGAGGGTCCGGGTTTGAGGCACGCCACCGCGAACTCTGCGCGTTCTTTCAGAACCACCGCCTGCCAAGTTCCTCTGCTTTACCCAAAATACTCGGTCCTGTGTTGTTTCGACGTGCCTTCACGGCGTCTGCATTCCTCAGAATGCCAAAAGTAACCGCTGATGCTCTCCCCGTGTCCGGGATGTTCGGGGTGGTCAAGCCTTCCGGACCGACGAGTATGAAGGTCCTAGACGATATCAAGCCTTTGCTATATGGCTCTAAGCTCTTCGTGGACGAAAAGAAGCTTGCTTCCGCTGGAAAGGATGCCGGTAAAGGGAAAAGCAAGAAGCGTGGCAAATGGAGGAAGATGAACAGCGACTTGAAGATTGGCCAAGGAGGGACGCTTGACCCATTAGCGGACGGTGTTCTAGGTGCGAGCCTCGTGCGAGTACCTCTACTTATCTGACTCTGACACTGTATAGTTGTTGCCGTCGGGAAAGCCACGAAGCGGCTGAATGACTTTCTCGACTGTCCCAAAGTGCGGCGCCTTGTGGCCCGCGAGTGCTTCGCGATACGAGTTCACTTTCACGCGTAGGAATACATCACGACTTGTCTTCTCGGTTGCGAGACGGACTCGTACGATAGCGAGGGCTCGCGCGTTAGGTCTGCGCCGTGGCGGCATGTCACGCGCGAGATGGTTGAGCAAGCCTTGGACCAGTTCCGAGGTAACATCGAACAGACTCCACCACTGTGAGTGATCTGCCATTCTTGTGTAGTCGGGTACGTGACGATTTTAATAGATTCTCCGCTCTCAAGATGGATGGCAAGCCGTTGTACGAGTATGCCCGCAAGGGTATACCTCTCCCGAGGCCGATCGACAAGCGACCGGTGACGATTCACGAGCTCGAGCTTGTTGAATGGAAGGGCAGCGAGCACGAATATCGTTGGCCCGAGAAAGTCTTCACGCAAGAAGAGAGAGATCATCTCGCAAAGATGCTCTCCACTGTACCGGACAAGGCGTCTGTTGAGGATGAGCCGGAGCAGGACACGGACACGCAGTCTGTTCCGTCTGCCTTCGTGCTCCGCATGCGCGTTTCTGGCGGAACTTATGTCCGTTCGGTCATCCACGATCTCGCACACGCGGTGGGATCAGCAGGCCACGTCGTGACGCTTCAGCGTTCTCGACAGAAAAGCTTTGCTCTTCAGCCTACTGATGAGGGAGATTATGCGTGTGTACCGTGGGAAGTGTTCGTAAAGGCGATCGAGGATGTGGGCGAACGCGGGGAAGATGGTTGGTTAGACTGGGAGCGTGAGGTATCTGACAGACTACTTGTCGTAGACGAGAAGGAGAAGCAGGCATAAAGCGCTTCTTCGTGCGTAATACCTGCTTTTATGGCATCGTTTTGCTGACAGTCATACAGACGTCGGATGCTGTTCGTACTCTATTGCCAATACAAAGTTTGTAATGAAACTGTCTACCACATTCGCTCTCCTGCGTCACAATATGCCGAGGTTATACTGGTTTCTTTGACTGAGCGTGTCTTGTGGGTGTCTTGCGTGCTCGCGTCATGCGACTTCGTGGCTTCTGTGAAATCTTCCTGTGTTCTCGTGCGAACCCTTTGCGATGCTATTGTTCTGTCAAAAATATCAAAACGCTCTTTCGGCCGCCAGCGGCCGCCGCGATCTCTGCAGATGGGTACGGAGAATGCGTTCCGGCGCTCCGATACCTCACAGCTACTTTGCTAGCGCAACACCGGACCTCGCGCATCTGCAGTAGCTTGACGCTGCAGATCTCAACCGGTATCTTCAGCGCTCCACATTAGAATCCCGCATTTGTGTTAACATTCGTCCGAACATCTTCCAGGCTGCCTCATGATTGGAAAGTACGAAGCTGAAGGCCGTTACGCGCTGGCTTGTCAGCTTTGTCGATGGGTCCGCCTTTCCAAAATGGGCCTACACGGCTCGGCCCTGCTGCCCTTGCGGAGAAGCTGCCCTGGATGTACTATCCGGACTGGTTTTCAATTTAATGTCTATACATGAAGACGTGCTCACATGTCCACAGTCAGGGCAAGGCAGGGGCAATGCGAATTGTGCGCGAAGCACAGAGCTGTCCCTGCTCCGGAACGATCAAAGACCTTGCGCTCAAATCTGCTCAAATACGCACCCGCGACACCGACGGTACGGCCGAGGGCGGGGAACGAACAGCTGAGATCTCTGGGCCGCCACCCGCCGGTCCGCGCTAAACGGTCCGCTGTGCCACGCCGAGCGGCCGAACCTGCGCTTTGCTTTTTTGGAAATTCCGGGGGCCCGGGCCGCGGCTGCCGACCCCAGATACAAGAGACCTCCCCGCCGGTCCCCGCACTTTCGTTGATCCTTCCCCCTCACATCCGCTCCACAGACTTCCGATGGCCACCAACGGTGTTAACGGTACTCATGCGCCTTCGCGCCCACTCGTGCCTGGCATTTGGGCGCCCATCCCCACATTCTTCCAGCCGGAGTCGGAGGATCTTGGTGCGTGCTCTATTCTAAATCGGCGCGCTCGCGTGCAGTAGACCGACATCCGACCGCAGACATCCCGACGCTTCAGAAGCACGTTGTGAAGCTGGCCAAGGCCGGTGTGCTACCTCTCATAGCGGGATCTATGGGGGAGGCGATCCATCTGAGCCATGCGGAGCGCACCGAGGTCATCAAGGCCACGCGGCAAGCACTCGATGGTGAAGGCCTCCAGGCGTATCCAATCATTGCGGGAACAGGCGCCGGCTCGACGCGCGAGACAAAGGAGCTCACGAAGGCGGCCGCAGCCGCAGGCGCGGATTACTCCATTGTTATCCCGCCAGGATACTTCGCCGGTGTCTTGAACGCGAGCCCCAAAGCGCTGCATGCGTTCTTCAATGAGGTTGCGGATGAGAGCCCGATCCCAGTCATCGTGTACAGCTGTGCGTGTTCTGTTCCTATGGTCTCAGATGAATGTTGATAAAGTGCACAGTCCCTGGCGCGAGCGGGGGCATTGACATGGACTCCGACTTGATCAGCCAGATCGCTGAGCACCCCAACATCTGCGGTGTCAAGCTCACGTGCGGAAACGTTGGCAAGTTGACGCGCATCGCCGCTACCATCTCTCAATCCGATTTCTACGAGCTGCATCCGCGCAAGAACAAGGACGCGCCCTTCCTTGTCCTCGGCGGCTTCGTCGACTTCCTCCTTGCGTCAACGTTCGTGAACGCCCACGGCGCAATCACTGGCTTGGCGAACCTCGCGCCGGTACGTCGAAGATCTCATGATGCCGTGAAGCGCCTTCTAATTTCGTCATCAGCACACGATTGTTAAGTTGCAGGAGCTGTCCGTTGCCGCATTGAAGGATCCTTCCGTTCTTCCGGAAGCGAACAGGCTGCAGGGCATCGTTGCTCGCGGTGACTACACCATCGCGAAGTACAGCATCGCAGGCACGAAGTGGTTGATCGAGAAGGTCTACGGCTACGGCGGCCTGCCGCGCAAGCCTTTGCCACCGATCGATGCTGGTGTCGCGGAGGGTGTGTGGGCGCACCCGCACGTCCAGGAGCTCATCGCGACGGAGCGCAAGCTCAGCGGCAAGACCGCATAAGAGCTCTACGCCGATTCTCGCCGATTTGAGGTCGGCTTTGTATTTAACGAACTCAATGTATATTCTACGGTACGCGCACTGCTTGTCCTTGTACGATCTATGATACCATTCACGACGACACACCTCCCTGGATGCTTGCTTGCAGATCGATCTATAGCATAGACCTTAGATTTCCGCAATGCTCAGCGCTTTCAAGTTCTCCCGTACACTGTCAGATCTACCGGCCTCGTGTGCGCGCTCCGTCTCTTTTCGGTATGCGCATTACTCGCATCGTCAACTTCAGAGTTACTTCCCCACCAGATCTTCCTTTTAGATACGACGAATGACCGAAGATCGGCGGCTGTACAAGAGTTACACATACCGCATACGTGGTGACAGCTTACGAGAACGACTTGACCGAACGCTGTAAGTAGCACAGGAGATCTCCGTCCCACGAAGCACGCATGGGATCGTGCTCACCTGGTCTGTACTGTGCCCCTGCCGCAGTTCAGATGATGTCCTACGACATCTCGGCGGCCTGCCTGACTCGTACGGTGGTACTCTCGCTCAGGTTCGCAATGTATGACCAGATAAGACGCTGTCAAAGCGATAGCGAAGAACTCGAAGACGGAGGCTGAAAGCTAGCGCCTCGGGCCGTTGACGCCAGTGCGGGGAAATAGGGGCTTTCGAACTCTGAATAGCCGAGTCACGCGCGTTGATGCGAACCGTCGCGTCCTGCTCCCCTACAGCCGACCGACTGCTCACATGAGTACCCTTCCAGCGTCTATCGAGCTTCTCAACCCTCGACCACCATGGTCTTGACGACGCTTCGCCCATGGCCGCGCGTGTGCGCCGCCATCGGGCAGCCCCGAGCGCGCGAAACAGCGCGTCGCGCAGGTGAGGGTTGACTCGACGTCGACGTCGAGCTTATGGGTGTTGACGTCGGATCGAACGCGTTTGTAGGCACATCTCGCGTCTTCCATAGCAGCAGGCGTGCTAGGGACGCTTCAAAGCCTTTGGAGGTCACCGAGTCAGGTAAGATCATCATGTGGCGCCACAACGTCGGGCATCGACTCAACGTGCATAGGTATACCCTACTCGAAGCTGACCATCGGTGTACCGCGGGAAACCTTCCCCAATGAGCGCCGCATAGCGATGACGCCCGCAAACGCAGCACTGCTGCTCAAAAAGGGGTTCGGTCGTGTCCTCATCGAGACAGACGCCGGTGTGCATGCGCAGTTTGCCAACGACGCGTTCGCCAGTGCGGGCGCGACCATCGGCTCGCGCGACGATGTCTTCGCGAACGCGGACGTGTTGCTCAAGGTGCGCCCGCCGACATTCGGCGCTGAAGCAGAGCACATCAAGAAAGGTGCCACGCTCGTGAGCTTTCTGTATCCCACGCAGAACAAGGAAACGGTCGAGGTGCTCGCGAAGCGCGGCGTGAATGCGCTTGCCATGGATATGGTACCGCGTATCTCGCGTGCGCAGACTTTCGACGCTTTGAGGTTGGTTTCGTGCTTCCTAGATCTGCATGCGGGAATGACGATGTTGACGATCGCGGCAGTTCAATGGCTAATATCGCTGGATACAAGGCCGTCTTGGAGGCGGCCAATCACTTCGGAAGGTGAGGCGTCTTATGCGAAGCACATGTCAACACGTAAAATTGAACGCTGCTTCCAGTTACATGACCGGTCAAGTCACGGCTGCAGGGTGAGTGGCGCCATTTCATGCTGTCATCTTCATCTCAGGCCTTGCTGACTTCATTACAGAAAGGTCCGTGCTTCTTCCATTCGTGGCTTCGTACGTGTACTGAAGACACGCAGGTGCCACCATGCAAAGTACTCGTCATTGGCGCAGGTGTCGCCGGTCTGAGTGCCATTGCAACAGCTCGTCGTCTCGGTGCGATCGTACGCGGTTTCGATACGCGCTCGGCGGCGCGTGAACAGGTCCAATCTCTCGGTGCTGAATTCATAGAGGTCGAAATAGAGGAAGATGGCTCTGGTGGTGGCGGATACGCTAAAGAGATGTCTAAGGAGTTCATCGAGGCTGAGATGGCGCTGTTCATGCAGCAATGCAAGGAAGTTGACATCGTGATCACTACGGTAGGCGCCTTGGCTCGTTCAGCCAGTTCAGCAGCTGAATACTTCCGTAGGCTCTCATTCCTGGCAGGCCTGCGCCCAAGCTCATCACTAATGCTGTCCGTCAACTTAATACTGTCTTGTGGGATTTTACTGACATTTTACAGATGGTGGCTGCTATGAAACCTGGATCGGTTATTGTGGACATGGCTGCTGAGCAGGGCGGTAACTGCGAAGCGACCAAGCCTGGCGAGCTACACGTACACCGCGGCGTGACCATCATCGGTCGGTCCATCTCAACCAGTCTACACCGAGCCTAGCTAAGCATTCACATAGGATACACCGATCTTCCCTCGCGCTTGCCGACCCAATCATCGACGCTCTACTCAAATAACGTTACCAAGTTCCTTCTCTCAATGACACCCCCGAACAAGGCGGGCGAGTTCCTCCTCGATGTCAAAGACGAAGTCGTACGCGGAGCTCTAGTGACGCACAATGGTCAACTCCTTGCTCCCGTACCTCGCGCGCCGGTCGTAGCGTCCGTTCCGCCCGCCACCCAGTCGAAGAAGGATGAAAAGCCCGAGACGCTTGCGTTGACGCCCTGGCAGAAGGCTACGCGCGAAGTGGCGACTGTAACGGCAGGGATGGGATCCGTCGTGGCGCTCGGCAAGCTTACTGGCCCGTTGTTCATGTCGAACTTCTTTACTTTTGGTCTTGCTGGGCTTATTGGATACCGTGTGGTCTGGGGAGTCGCTCCTGCGCTGCACAGTCCTCTGATGTCCGTCACAAACGCGATCTCGGGTACGTCTATTCAACACTCATCCCGCTCACACCCATACTCAAGATGAATGGACCGCTAACTCTATCCTCGAATAGGTATGGTCGGTATCGGTGGTCTCTTCTTGATGGGCGGTGGATACTTCCCCGGCACAATCCCGCAAGTACTCGGTGCTCTGTCGGTGTTGATGGCGAGCGTGAACGTCGCGGGCGGTTTCGTCATCACGAAGCGCATGCTGGACATGTTCAAACGTGCGTCGTAGTCACACTCATCTCCCTCCTCGAAGGCCTCTTTCGCTGATGACCGTTCATGCGCCACAGGTAAGACCGACCCGCCCGAGTACAGCTGGCTCTATGGCGTACCGGCCGCGGTATTCACGGGTGGCTTCCTGGCCGCGGCTAGCACAGGAATGGCGGGCCTCGTTCAAGCGGGATACCTGACCAGCTCCATCCTCTGCATCGGCTCTCTCTCCGGCCTCGCATCCCAAACGACCGCTCGACAAGGCAACATCCTCGGCACCCTCGGTGTCGGGTCTGGTATCCTCGCCTCCCTCGCTGCCGTAGGATTCCCGCCGGAGGTGTTGGCGCAGTTCGCCGGTGTAGCTGCTATTGGCGGTGGGATTGGAACGTTGCTTGGGAGGAGGATCACGGCAACGGAGTTGCCGCAGATGGTCGCGGCACTGCACTCAGTCGTCGGTCTTGCCGCAGTGCTCACCAGTATCGGAAGCGTCCTCGGATCGCTCGAGCATCTCACCATGCTACACATCGTCACGGCGTACCTCGGCGTTATCATCGGTGGTGTGACGTTCACCGGCAGTATCGTCGCGTTTTTGAAACTCGCAGGGAAGCTGGCGAGTCGCCCGCTCGTATTGCCCGCACGCCATCTGGTCAATGGGTCGCTGTTGGGATCAAATCTGCTCACGATGAGCGCGTTCATTTCGAATGTGCCCAAGGCGGCGGGTGTGGCGGCGGCGTACCTTGGTGTTAGCACGTTTTTGAGCTTCGTGAAGGGGTATACGCTTACTGCTGCTGTTGGCGGAGCTGATATGCGTACGTCTTGACTGTTCTCCTTGTTGTGTTGTAGTATGCTGACTTTGTTTGTCCAGCTGTGGTCATCACCGTCCTGAACGCCTATTCCGGCTTCGCTCTCGTCGCTGAAGGATTCATGCTGGACAACCCACTCCTCACGACAGTTGGCTCGCTCATCGGCGTCAGCGGCTCGATTCTATCGTACATCATGTGTGTAGCGATGAACCGGTCGCTCACGAACGTCCTATTCGGCGGTGCAGCGCCACCCGCGACGCAAGGGGACTACAAGATCGAGGGGACTGTTACGCAGACAAATGTGGATGATGTGGTGGATTCGCTCGCGAACGCTGATAGCGTGATTCTTGTGCGTGTTCTATACTGCTGTAGTCGAGGGACGTTGACTGATGATGCTCCGTAGGTTGTGGGATACGGTATGGCTGTGGCCAAGGCCCAATACGCTATCTCGGAGATTGTCTCGATGCTCAGGGCCAAAGGCGTCAACGTGCGCTTCGCAATCCACCCCGTAGCCGGCCGCATGCCAGGCCAATGTAACGTCCTCCTCGCCGAGGCGTCCGTACCCTACGACAGTAAGCTCTTTCAATTATTCTCCCTCCAGCACCATCACTGACCTTGCCGCGCAGTCGTACTCGAGATGGACGAGATCAACGACGACTTCGACGACACAGACGTAACGCTCGTCATCGGCGCCAACGACACCGTTAACCCCATCGCGCTCGAGCCCGGAAGCGCTATCGCCGGCATGCCCGTGTTGCGCGCGTGGAAGAGCAAACAGGTCATCATCATGAAACGCGGGATGAGCTCAGGATATGCGGACGTGCCGAATCCGATGTTTTATATGCCGAATGCGAAGATGTTGTTTGGGGACGCGAAGGACTCTTGCGATGGTGAGTGGCCTTCCAACTGTATGCAAGCTAGACGTCTTGCTGATGAGCTGCGTAGCTATCAAGCGTGCGCTTGAGACGCGCGAGAAGTGAGCGCTACGCGCTGTGAAGGTTGAAGACGCGGAGAGAAGATGAGAGGGGGAGAGGACGGACTGGGGCTGCGCACCTCATCTGAGCATGTACATTCATATCTCATTGCTTTCAATCGCTGTACTATCATTATGCTATGCACATCCTGACCCAACTAAACGTGCCTGTGGCGTACGTCGAGTCGCGAGCAGAGCGGTACCGGCGAGCGCTCGATTCACGGCTTCTCCCGTGCGCTTGACAGCTTCCAGGCTTGCGCCACACCACCGAATGCGAGCCTCGTGTCCGGGCTTGTGCGCTTCTTGCCTTCGCACTACCAGCATGGCACCAAGAGGAGGTAACGGCGGTGGTGCGCGTCTATCGCAGTCATGTCAATCGTTGAAGTTGATCATGTCGTCACGGTCAGGCAAAGCCGCCGCATCTTCGAGTCGACCCGCCCGCTCGGGAGCGCCTAAGGGCTTCGCGGACGAGAATGACGGCGACGCATTTGACTTCGAGGACGACTCTGCACCGGCGTATGTGCCTCTCCTATTCCCTGTACGCGCCCAATCACTAACAAGAACGTAGAGACGATCCAGCGCACTGGCTGGGCATGATGCGCGACATGAAGAGTAAGCCTTTCTTTCACCCAGTTCCTTCGCCGCACTCAAAAAGCTGACTATATGCGCTCTCTAGGCAAGACCAAAGGCGCCCCAACTCCCGCAGCCGCACAGCGCGCGCGTCAGCTCGCGGCAATCTCCAAACAGAGCCGGATGCAGGCGGGCGAGTTTGTTAAGGATACGAACGCGTATCTGTACGTTCTCATCCATGCACCTCCACTGTCGTCGTCGTTGGTTATTGAAAGCGCGTGTCATATGCGTAGAGATGCGCTCTTGGAAACGTACGCCGTCGCACCGAAAGAAGAAGGCGCGCAGCCAGATTGGGCGCCATACTTCCAGGCCGGCGCTCGACACGCGAAAGCGTTGAACGTATGCGCTTACCCCGTCCTCGTCTTCCGGACGCCCATGTGCTAATTGGAACGACGTGCAGGATTCTGTGGCGCATGCGATCAAGCTCACCCCGCGTTCAGATCTCGAAGGCGGCAATCTCCCGCAGAGGCGCGAGGACGACGTTGAGCGCGCTTGTGCACGACGTAGGTTCATATCATATGCTTCGCCTCTGGGTGAGACTGATGCCACGCCACAGTCGAGGCGTACCCCGTCCAACGCGAGAAAGCTCGCGCGCGACAGCTGCGCGCATTCAAGGAAGAACTCGACAAAGAGATCGAGCAGCAGCAGGTGCGTATATGCGCCCGTGCGCGTCTAGATCCGACGAGTGAAGCTGACGTGAAGTACGCAGCTCGTGGTAGACGCTCGAGCGTTGATCAGGGGATATCAAGCGCTGGCTCGTCGAGGATAAGCTTAGAATAGGAAGAGGGACAGGCGCGCATACATACATTTTCAGCAACGGAGATCGAGTCGAGATGGATCTTGGGCGTCTTCAGAAGACTGGACTCTTGAGGAAATTGGACTTCCATACCATGTCCCGCGTACCCATGACGCGTATATGACAGCCGCGGGAACCCGTACCACTTTCGCTCTGTATGACACTTAGCGCCAGTGGATGGCTATTGAGGATTAGAAAAGAGATTTCATTTGGGAGGGATCATAAATCTGCACACGACGCGCCGGTCCTCGGCCGTCGTCCGTACGAAGGGTGGGTAGGTACGAATGAGGAGGCTGGGGGTAACACGGGACGTGGAAAAAAAAGAAGACGAAGACTATACGCGTATACGAAGTGAAGATGAAAGAAGCAAAGAAGTCGAAGGCGAAAGGTGAAGGTCCAAGAAGCGTATAGTCCATATGAAGATAAAGAAAGCGAAGAATGCACAGTCCACCAGGCTTTGGAACGATGAAGGGCGAAGGGGGCGGGAGGGTTGTTTAGATGGAGCGTCGACGGGGTATGGTAAGATATAAAGCGTACTGTTATCGACGCGAGACGGGGGGATTGATTGTGGAATACGGGCACGATGGTCCAGGTCTATATATTGACGAGGCGAGCGGACGAATGTTCGGAGAGAGGAATGTTCGAAGGTCAAGAGGAGGGTGCGCGAGAAGAATGTGCGAAGAGGTGAAGATGAAGGTGAAGTGCGAAGGGGTGTGGAAGGTGTAAAGGGGACTCGGGTAAAGGGACGGTGGGCGCGTGCGGCGGTCGTTAGTCTGCATTGGATTGTATCAATTCAAAAAGGTTCGTGTGTAGGGTCATAAATATGCAGTCCGTATCCAAGAACGAGTAACACTCCAGTTCTATCGTGAAGCATGGTCCAGCGCGACGACGGGTGACGGCGGGTTCAGCACGATGCTCGGCATACTCAACGAGCGCGACGGCGCGTGAGAAGCCAGGTGTGCTGGCCGCGACTCGGGTGTGGGCGATGTGGGGCTGCTGTATGGGCTGCCACCGGGCGTGCGACGTCCGAGGTATGAGGGCACGTTGATCGGTGACGGTCGTAATGGCGCGGGCGCTGGTGCAGAGGCGCCGTAGGCGTGGGAAGCCGGGTGCGCCGCGACAGCAGAGCAGAACGGCAGGACAGTCTGCGGGTCGCGTTTATTCCTGTTGGACGAGCGCGAGCAGCGGGTATCGGGCTGCGAATAGAGCCATGTCGCCGCGAGGACGATGGAAGCGCCAACGAGGAAAGCCAGCGTGATGCGCGTGTGGAAGAGCCCGACGGAGAGCAGGAAGGAGATGACGATTGACAGCGAAGTCGCGAATCCCTTCATGATGTTGTCCGCGTACTTGATCACGAGCGCCGTAATCAGACCGCCCAGAACTTGCGTCGCGACCGTGGCCCACGCGGCGACGGTAAAGTTGGCGAACAGATTCGTGAACGACGGTACGGCCGTGACGTTCGCACCCTGGGTCGCGACGATAGGCGCCAGAGCGGGCAACAACGAGAACAGGCTCAGTTGGACGTTGCGGACCCAGAGATCGCCCGACGAGTTCTTGAGCACCATCTCGAAGTAGACGCCGGCGAGGCCCGAGGTGAAGCATGCGGCTGCGACGGCGAGGAAACCTTTGAAGGGGACCATGCCGTGCACGTCGGGACCAGAACCGTGGGAGCCGGATGTTTGCAGCTGGACGACTGCGACGCCGACGGCGAGAAAGAAGAGGGCGAGCCATTTGACGGGCGTCAGTTTCTTGCGGAGGAGCACGACGGAGAATGCGGCGGTCGTGAGGATCTTCATCTGGTACGTGACCTGGAACGTCGCGGCGTCTAGGTTGCTGGCGGCGACGAACTGGAGATTATTCTGGATTACTGAGAACGTGACGTATTAGCTTCCGGGTTCTCAAATTCATTTCAACATTGCGCGTTGAGACATACCGTATAGTATGGCGGGGATAGAGAGCTTCCAACAGTCTGTCCTGAAGACTTCTTTGCCCAGTTGCCTGCACCGTGCGAGGAAGACGCGGGGGTTGAGGTTCGAGCGTGCAATGGCGCCCTGCTCGAGCGAATATTGCGGCGGAAGCTCCACGCGGGAGAACGCGATACACAAGGATATTGCGCCCTTTAGCAGCTCTGTCGCGAGGACGGCCGCTGCAGGGGAGTACGCGTGCGAGGGTTGTGCGCTGACGCGCGAATAGTGCATGAGGACCGCCAGAGCCGCATTTTGCACTGCCAGAGTGACAAGTCTACATTACTAATGTTAAGTATGATGTTCCAGTTATACAAACAAGTACTGCTCACGAGATATATTTGAGAGGGATGCCCGCTAATGATGGTATAGGCTGCGGGGACGTGGACAGCGGGTTGGGCTCTGGGGCTGCGTCTGCCTGCTTTCCCGACCAGAACGCCTTGGAGTGGTGTGGCGACTTTTCTGAGTAGGACATGGCAGGGATGAGATGGGGGGAGGAGGCAAAGGCTCGAACTCCGGCCAGAGCTGCGGCTGTTTTCAGGACGCGCGAGCCCGAATGCGCTGCGCGAAGAGGCGCGAACCCCGATTTTGATTTCGGGCGCATCGCTTGTTGGCCAATCTCCCGGCTCAGCCTAGACCGACTTCTTTTTTCTTCCTCTTTTTCTGCGTCCTTCCTTCCTATGCATATTTTATTTCCGTAGCGCAGCAGGCTGGCTTATCCGTGTCTCGGGCTGTGCAATGTACCGTAACCCTCCGGGCAAGCTCGCTGCAACCAACAAGCGTCCAGTCAATTCAGGTTCCCAACATCACAATCAGCCCTTTCCGAACACTATTTCGGGGGGTCCTCAGGCTACAAGTTCGCGCCCCCGCAGTCTTGCCCCGCTCCACCCCGAAGCATCCCCCGCACCATGATCATTCACACCAAGCCCATCCTGCTTTGATACCATTCCTCTCGAGGGCTGAGACGGGGAGTGGGTTCGTCTTCTCTTCCCTGCAAGAAGAGGCGCGGTTCGCGTCACTTTTGGGCGCTTCGGCTCCGATGGCCTGTGACCCTCGTACCCAAACCTCCATCAGACCAGCAAATGGAAAGAAGGAAAAGGCCGCAAGGAGAAACGTGGAGGATAATCGACGTCAATTGACAGCGGTTCGATTCCAATTCACATGCTACGCCCGTGCCTCGAGGCTAGCCTATCAACGAACGCTTTCTGAGGGCATGACGACGAGTTGACGATGACCTCGAGGCTCGTCGGTCGGTGAAGACGGCTGTGGAGCTTGCTAGAAGATTGCGATTGGAAGGTTGCTAGAGCAGCAGCTGTATCCCGAAGAGGGACAGAGCACAGCGCAGCACCACTTGGACGGCGGCCTTCAAACTGCGAGACACCTAAATTGCCGGCGCTTAGGGCTCGGAGTCTTACACATGTACACATAGGCGCCTACATGCGTGCTCGGCTTTACCTGTACGCTACGAAACGAGTGCATACATATCTTACAGAGGGCCATTCGTACTGTGGACGCTCGCTGATAGTCAACGACGTCATCGCGTCATTCCCTGAGCGCGTTACAATCTATCAGACCGATATGTAGATGGATATTCCAGTTGTACGTATAGCCAGGTACCGCCCACCCGCGCGAGCGGCGAGGACCGCGTCATCGACACACGCAGCTATCGCGCAATCAGCGTGCTACGCTTCGTCCTCCGAGCTCCCTGCCCACAGGTATCTCCGGAGGCTGCGGGGATGAGGAGCTGGAGAGTCGTGTGTACTGTAGTACAGTGAGACCTGATATGGGCCTACGTATATTCCCGTCAGTTTCCGTCAGTTTTCCTCTGCGCAGCGCTCGAGGAGGGAGATATTTTTGCGTGCGCTCGGATCCATCTGTCCATCGAAATCGCGACGCGACGCGCCGAGTTCACCAGCGATACCCGGTACCGGACGCGCAGCACACGCGTAGATGAACTGTAGATGAACTCGATGAACCTGGGTACTCCGAGCCTTCATAATCCAGGGCTGTACGCTGTTTTAGGCGCCACGCAGCGAAAGACGGGATGAGAGCGCCACAACTCCAAGCCTTTACCCTGAACGTTACGCCGCTATGTGGCTGTACAGGGTGCACCGGCGAACAGTCTAGCGCCGCGGCAACTCGAACGGCCCGGCGATAAGGGTACGCGCTGCCGCCTACTATCGGGTGTTCGGGCCGGACGAGTGGTTCCTATACACTCGGAGATTCCGCTTCAAGCAGGTATATTCAAGAGCATACATACAAGGACTGCGACACCGTTACTGTTCGAGCATACAACCAAGATCTTCAGTGCAAAGTCCTGTAACCATTCATTATCCGGGACTCGGATTGACTGCGCGCGCCGCAGACTACCGCTTCTTCTGCTTCTCTTCCAACCTTGACGCCACGGTCACAGACCGCGCGATATCCCTCCCCAGCACGTACACGATCGCCGACGGCACAACGATCCAAAGTCTATCCAAGGAACTCAGCACTACAGCCATAGCAAGGGAAGAAAGCAGCGTACCCATTCGGCAGCACCCAAAGAAGAAGCAGATCCTTCATCGAATTATGCCCGACCGCACATCCTCCGCAGAAGAACTCTTGCAGCCAGTACAGCACCGTCTTGGAGAGCGTCATGATGATGGATGCGAAGCCTACGACGGTGGCGATGGGCGATGCACGGATGTGCGCGAGGTAGAGGTAGAAGAGGTTTAGGATCGTCTCTACGATGTTCAGGAATGCTAGGGTGTTTCATCGTGAGCCTGCGGATCATGCGTTGGGGTTTGGAAGGGAGGCGTACATTGTGCGTTCGTGAACCCATCTCCGCGTTCGAATGCAGGGAGACCGTATACGTAGTCAACATTCTGAACAAAGTATGTTCAACGAGCGCTCTCAGTACGAGTTTGGGGTAAAGACGCACCTGATACAGCCCGTACGGCTCCCATATCCAATGCAAATCACCTCCGACGAACGAGCGCGGACTGAATGAATAGCAAGCATGAGCGACCCCATACAGTATTCGGACCGCATAGTAGTGCGACGCACCGTGCGAAGCAGTACCCCGCGTCCCAGATGATCACAGGCGCAGTCAGAAGAAACCATAGAGAGATCCATGTGTACGTCTTGACGGCCATCGCGCAGACTCTATGCACTAGCAGTACTTGGCGGCCTTCAGCGTCGACGTGGTTGCGGAGAGAGAAAGCGAGGGAATCGTGCCATACGACCGTCAGAGACGGGCGTGCAACCGGTTCACATGCTGGGTATAATATGGGCTTTGTCAGGGCGCTCTGGGCGCTCTGAGCGTCGTCGAAGCTTGAGTTCGAGTTGGGAAGCAACGGGTGTCACGCGCGCTTTCGTGCTTTCAAATAGGTCGCCGAGTTCACATGCTCGTAGGCAAGATGGTATTCCGAAAGATAGCAGTACTAGCAAGTGCGAGTAGATATAGTAGTCCTAGATAGCTCCGGTAGTAACACATAGTCGCCTACTTGTAAGGGATGCCGTTTTGCAGCTGTAGAGACCGTCAGCAAAGATGAACCGATACAAGGAGTGTGTGCACTGACCCTCTGGAACTCGTCGTAAACCGTGCTCCTGACGTTCTCGTGCGCATTCTTCACGATACCCATCATGAACTCTGCCGCCTGCCGCTCTCCCAACCCCGGCGCAAAACGACTCCGCAACCTCTGTATCGTGCCCTCGCCCTTAAAGCTCGGCAACCCCGTCCCAAGCATAAGCTGCACCGCACCAACAAGCTGATCCGTATGCGACCTCAACGCCAGGAAGCCCTTCACGCACATCTGCTGGAACAGCGCGTACCCCTGCGACCCCCGTCCACCCATAAGCACGATCATCTCATGGTTCAGCTTGAACGAGCTCGGCTCGAACTTGACGCCTCCCGGCCCGATATCGAAGAGGAATCCGAAGTCGATGTGTACGATGTGGCCCTCGGCGTCGATCATGATGTTACCGTTGTGTCGGTCTTTGATCTGCAGGATGTAGCAGGCGAGGGAGTAGGCGGCCATGGAGGAGATGAAGTTTAGGCGCGCGTGTTGGAAGGCGACGGTGTCGGGCCCGCCGTAGCGCGCGACGAAGAAGTCGTGGAGATCGTTGACTTTTGCGCGACCCATCTCGTCGCGAGAAGTTGCGTTCGGGACGACATCAATGACACCGCACTGTGATGTAGTCAGTACCTGCATGTATAAGCTCTCAAAGAGCACTCACCCCAGGAGCGGTCGCAGTGACGCGGTACGGGTACAAATACAACGTAAGACCGACGCTCTCGAAGATGTTCTTGAACATCGCGATGACCTGCAACGCAAGCACATCTTGACGACAATCGTCTCCGACCTTGAAGATCGCCTGTAGCCATACATCCTTCGTCAAGCGGTGCTCTTCTCCGCCGTTGTCGCCAGTCAAGATCGAGTCGGGGTCTGAGTCAATGACAAGCTGCTGCTTGCGAACTTTGAAGGTGGCCATGAACGGGGCCTTCGCGTGACTTTGTAATGGCCGGCCGGACTTCTTGTCGATGTCGATGACCACACCGTCAGGGTTTGATGGTAGGTAGACGCCAACGTCGACTTGGATCTTCGCCATCTCCTCGTCGATCTTGGCCTGCGAATGTATCATTAGCAGCGTTCCAACATGGTGACGACAGGGCGCACCTTCTTCTCGGGCTTGGTCTTCTTGATGAATGGCTTGAGCTTGCCAGAGATGGACGTGACCTCGTTGAAGAACGAGAACTCCCGGTCGTAGAACTCGCGCGCTTCGCCAGACAGCTCGCCAACGATCTCGTCCGTCATCTTGTCCAGTTGGGGCTTCATCGGGTCGGGCTAATGTGGTTGTCAGCGCAAGGCACACCTGCGGATGAGAACGTGACATACCACTTCGGCGTTGTCGTCCTTGTAGGTGTTCGCCTTCATGTTCCATATGATCTGGTGACAGAACAACTGCGAGACCTTCGCTTGCTCAAAGATGAAGTGCGCAACGTAGCCGAGATTGTCATGACGCAGAGCTTGCACGACTTGAGGGACGAAGAAGAAGGTGAGGTCAACGGGATGTTGTGCAAGTACACGGTGGGCGTATTGCAAGATGATAGGGTCGTTCTTGTACCGAGGCTCGTAGAACGAGATGGCAGTCACGGGTGGAGCGGGGTCCCAGACCAGAAGATACTGCGCATCATGAGCGTGGTGTACCCGTGGGAGTTAAACTCGCTTACTTTCAGATCGCGGCGCATGCTTGGATCTAGAGTGTCCCCAACAAGGAAGCGCAGGGCTTCGGGTGAGTGCAAGACGGAGCGCGGGTTGGACCGTACCAGCTTGCTAACTTCACTGGAGATCACGGGGGCCCTGAAGCGCTCGGCCAAATGAATAGCAATGGTTGGCTCGATCTCCCACAGAGTGCGAATAACAGCGGTCCAGGAAGCCTACAGCACGTATAAGCATTGACCAAGATGGACATAATGCGGTCACACGAACATCGACCATCGACCGCTCCGTGTGCGGTACGTAATCAGTGCGGCGACGGAGGTCATTGACAGGGTTATCCCAGATAGACAGCCTGTACATCTCGTTCTCGATGAGCAATTGGAGCGGAACGCTAAGCGTTGAGACGCGGTTGATGTAGTCTGACGATAGTCAGTCAGCTTGTCGATGCAAGCTCCGGAACGACCGAAGACTTACAGTGGTGAGTGGGCGGGATCTGGTTCGGCGCGAGGCTGGTGACATGATACGCCAGGCGCGCTGAGTCCATCTTGACGAAGGCCAGGAACTCGGACAAGAGCTTCATGTCTGCGTCAAGCTGGAGACGGTTTGTACCGAATGACCACCTTGGCACAAGATCAGTATGAGTGAATTATAAGAACACGCGGGAGAGTATCGTACTGAGGTCTGTCGGCGAACCATCCGAATGCAGTTGCGTAGAGGCTCTCGCGCAGGATATGTTCGCACATCGCGTCCAGTCTTGAGCTCTTAAGCGCCTCAAAGCCGAAGAGCAAGAACGAGAAGCGGGCTTCACGTGCCAGAGGGTGAGTGCTCATGCTCTTGAACGACTTGGCCGACTGAAGTACAAGGCGAAGAATCAGCAACATGAGGCCCGGACGACGGTATCGAGCAGCCTGCAGGCGACTGAAGAGCATCTGTAGGATTAAGGTGTGCGGGGACAGTAGACGCCGAGCGTGGCCCATGCTCCGATCGATGAGGTCCTTGTCGGTTGGAGTGTATTGCACTGGTTGCATGTTGGGATCTTCGTAGCTGTGATACGTCAGCCATTATCCTCTGCCCACAGGAACAAGCAAACCTACTTCTGTGTCTTCGAGAAGATCCCACGCTCGTGTCTGATGCTGAGTATCCATGCTGAGCTAAGCTCCGACATGATGGATATCTCGAACTCCGGGCGCTCAGAGATCACCCATGTCCAAACCTCGATACCGGCGGATACTGATGATGGTGTGAACGCCTCGAACGGCAGGGCGACAAGGTGATGGATGAACTCGTAGTCACACTACGTATCCGTTAGTATGGGCAACTCTTCTAAAGCTCTGCACACGAACCTTGGTGACAGTGATGAGCGATGATGCACAGCGGAACAACATGCGCTTGAGATCCTGAATAGAGAAGGCATTGCGTTTCTCGCGGATGGCGGTGAGCGCTTCTGCCATGCGTTTCTTGAGGTCTTCCATCTCCTCCACTGGTACGCGATCGTCGATATTCTTCTCCATGTCCTCCGCTAGACTTGAGTCAGTCGTACGCCTACGGACCGTGGATAAATCATGGTTTACCTCCACGGTCTGCCAGACGTAAACCAGACATCTCGCCGACCGAGTACGCCTTTGACGCGAGTTGGCTCGTGAAGAGTTTGGCGCGGTCGGGCTTCTGCTTCGACAGATGGACGAAAGCAGCTGCACTGGATGTCAGAAGTGACCAACATAGTATACGGCGCGATCATACACAGCTTCCTTTCAACGGGTCCGATCGCCTTTCCGAACTGCTCGGCTATTGAAGCCCCAAGGTCGACCGTATCAACCGGAGACATCGACTGATTGACGGCAAGGTATTTCTGGGGGGGGGGCATTAGCGGACATGTCAAGGAGATATTTGGGCATAACACACCTGGAGCGTAGTCTGTAGCTCTACAGGTGCCTTGGCCAAAGCAAGCTCTAGCCACATGGTGGCGCCGCGCTTGAGATTCGTCAAGATCTCGTCGCGGATCTTGTAGTCGTCCGTGAGCTGAAGTACGATATCCGCCCGTTCCGAACGATACTCCCACTCGGGGTTGTACTCGTCAATGAATTCGCCCTCGCAAGCCCGACGCAAGAGAGTGAGCGTCTCGAGCATGGCGAACACCAGCGGCGGGTCACACATCAATGACGGGAATGATGTGATCAGCCGGTTGAGGTAGGTGGCTGCTATCACCCGAGCGCGTGCCACGCGATGAGTACTACCAATGAGCAGCGTCTGGAGGTCCACTGAGAGATGAGCTGGCAAAGCCTGCTCGCGAGCTTGGAGGTTGAGCTCAGAAACCGCGTCCTTCATGATCTTCTCGGCCATCGCCTGCATACACGCCTCGAGCGACGGCGCTTTGTCGAGCCCGCTGTTCGTGAAGTACGAAATTAGCGACGCCGGGTACCCAGCGGCCGATCGCATGCTCTCCACGTCGTGGATGGCAAGGAGGAAAATGACGAGCCCCGACGACAGGGAGCGGATTTGATGGTGATGCGTGGGTAACAGTCGGTTGAGGATGTTGCGGTGCTTCGTGATAGCCTACAAGGACGTTAGGAGAAGCATCCGTGTACAATGCTCGAAGAGCTCACCGAGTTCGCATAGTCCAGACGAATGGACGGGTTGAACTCCACATCGCTGACAAAGGTATCGTGCGCGTCTTCCGAAATCAGTGGTGGCGTCGCCACCGCAATTCGAGCAAGCGCCGGCCGACGCCACTCCGTCGCAGAGGCTTCCTTCTCGTCCTGCGCTCCAAGCTGGAAAAGTGTGCACAAGAACCACATGTTGCGGAAGAGCACAATAAGCTCAGGGCTGGCCTGAGTGCGGGGCGTGTAGTCGGCATGGGAGAGTAGCGCGTCGATCGGTAGTAATAGCGAGACGAGCTGCTCGACCATAGTCTCGGGCTTGAGCGACTTCTCCTGGGTGAGGGTGTTCTGTATGGCCACACCCTGATCGCTGAAGAGCGTGAGGAGCTCCGTCAGGTACACGTCGTATAGCTCGGGACGCTGGTGCAGCTCCTGAGCAAGACGCGTCTGCGCTGCCACGATCATGTTGTGCGAGAAGCGCGGATCCTCCGTGTTCGTTGAGCGGCTGAGTAGCGAGAACGCTCTAACAATGTCTCTAAACGACTGCTCGGGCGCCTTCAGCGCAAGATCCACCAGACTGTGCGAGATCGTCGCTTCGGCGGTGGGGTCAACTGAGGACAAGCGCTGAACCAGCATGGCGATGGTGAGCTTGGTGACTTCCTCGCGATCGAACTCGAGCGCCAGACGGGATACGACGGATATGGTGCTAATACTGATCAAGCGTCTCTCTTCCTCTGTCCACGAGTTCTCGCCAGAGTTAGTAGTAGCGGTATCGGCGGCCGTGACGATGGATGCACGTGGACCATTGTTGAGTTCGTTAATCTCCTTGCTCGTGGCGGCGATGTGGTTCAGAAGGGAGTACATCGTTGACATGATCAGGTCCTCTCCCGGAGCGAGCTATGGAGTCGTCAGCAATTCGGTACGCGGGGCTACTTTCGCATATCGAACCTTGATGCACAGGGCTAGGCACTTAGCAGCGGCGTGGAGGGTTGCCGGCGCACGTGTCTCCGCGACATAGTCGTAGTCCAGAGCAGGAAGTGGCGACGAGACGAACCGCCGTAAGTGAGCGACCATCTGGGGTGCAATATCGGGAAAACTATCAAGATGTCGTTAGCCACGGGACAGTGCACGAAGAGAAGGGCGCGAATACTCACTGTTGCACAAGAACCGTGACGGTCTTCAAGGCCGTAACCTGTACCAGACTGTCTGAGATGGGCGACTCAACACTCAAGACGCCCTTTAAGCGGGAGAAGAGTGATTGGTCGAGCTCGCGTAGAGCAACGGTGCAGACAGCTGCGAGCTTGAGCGACTCCGAAAGAGTCTCCCAGGCGTAGGTGTCGTATGATGGCTCCTGCTCGAGCTGTTCGAGTAACACCAACAGGTCTGCGAACACCTGCATCGAGATTGAGATGGTCTCCTGCAGCGCTGCCTTCTTGTCGTTGGATAGAACATCCGTTTGTATAGGTGCTTGCAGCGTGAGCGCAGTCCAAGCGGCGTTTGCCGCAGCAGCCTCGCCGGACGTCGATATGGGGCAACCTGGCGGGTTATGAGGGTATAGTGTCTGAGCCAGAACAGTCCATTGCGTCTCGATAACGCAGCATACGAGGAAGTATCCGTTTAGTGGGCGAGACCGGGAGATGTAGCGCGAAAGCAAGGTCTGAACGTAGCGCAGTGTCTCCACTTCGTCCGCGTCGTTCGTCGAGATGACATTCACAAGGAGGCCATTCAGACGTTCAAGGACTTCGGGTGCGAGCAAGCTGTTGAGGTCACGAGATAGAGCGAGCCAGTCGTCCAGTTGCCATGCGAAGTGCGTGGAGATGATGGCCCGGTAGAAGCCATGGAAGTAGAGTCCATGATGCGACAGGATCTCGACAGCTGCAGTATATGGAGTGAGTCTAGGTCTCATTGGATGGACTTCATGCTCTTACGGGTGCTGGTCTTGAACTTGTCCACCATAGTGCCGACAAACGCTAAGACTGCAGCAGAGATCTGTGCGCGCCTCTCCGATTGAGCCTCGGCCAGCCTCAAGAGCGCAGACACAGTCGAATACACGAGCTGGTCAGGAAGCGCCCAGTCGTCCCAGGATAGATTGTTTGCGCATTCGACGAAGGGTATATCGCGAAGGATGTCTAATAAGACGGGTATCGCGCTTGATACTAGGTCCTTGTTCATGTTGACGGATAGTTCCGCGAAGCCGATATTGGCGCGTATGCGCGAGGCCGGCTGTTCGATACGTGAGTATACTATATGTGTTGATGGCATTCTAGCGTACCATGAAGACTTTCTCTGTTGCATCAGAGTCTACACGTGTGACGACGCCCGAAGTGACAGCATCTACAGCTGCCTGTACGGTCTCGTCGGCGGTGTCCTCCTTCGACGCTCCAACGCTGGCTGCGAGGTCCGTCAGGACCATTTGGTGGACATTGAACTCCAAGCTATATAGGGTGAGCACGTGCGCTAACAGATATAATAAGTACGCACAAGTCCATGTTGCAATGCCCGATTGGTGGCAGTGCTTCGATGCAAGTTGGTTGGACGTCACGAATAGAGGCGCGTCTGGACGTGTGGCTCTGGGAGACGCGCTTTGATGCAGCGAAACGCGCCTTCGTCTCGACCATGATCACCGTCACCAAGCCTCTATACTATAGAATCGCTGCACTACGGCTTATTCGCAGTTGAGACCGATATTCGTCATGTCTCTACCTAATCCAGCATCACTGCATGCTCTCTTAACGCATCCTCAACTCGCAAGTTTGCTCTCGAATCACCCGAATGATTTGAAGTTATCGAGTTCATCATCTGCTCGCATACCGCATGACTGGGAGGAGTGGTGGGAATGGGCAGGAAGCTACCCTGGGACGAGCGCAGAACCTGCTTGGAAGGCCGTCCTGCGAGCGTACACCTCTGCCATCGCAAAAAATGTCCGGCATTCCACTTCCGTTCCTCGCGATGTTTTGGCTGACGGTTAACGAAGGGCGCTTCGACTGCATCTATACCGGAACCTCTGCAAGAACTCATGAGCAGAGTCAAAGAGAGCGAAGTCGACCGAACGCCATGCAGCATCTCTGTGCCCGTCACTCCACTCCGCGGCATGTCACCAAAAAAGGCTCACGAAGTCATACGTATGACGGCCTATGTGAAGGAGCTACTCAAAACACCCGAGCTCTCTGGTGTGAGACACGTCGTAGATGTCGGTGCAGGACAGGTATGCGACAACACATGCTCGATACGCTCGGCGAAAACTGAATGATCAGTTACGCAGGGATATCTCTCGCGAGCTTTATCTGAGGCGGGGCTGAACG